AAATGGGCTAGTTCAGGTGCGAGAGTTAGCCTAGAAGAGGCTAGATAGAAATGGGCCAAGCAGTGTTTAAATGAATACAGTTTGTGTGTTGTTATTTCTGGTGTAAAGCTAGCTGTGCGGGAGCCAGGCGGGACGAAAAGCAGGCCCGCCGCCCGTATTACTACAAATGGGCCGGAAGGCTGAAGATGGATGCCCCAACGGTACAGAGGAACTTTGGGTGACTGTCCAGGCAGCGAGATGTCTCTGTCATTTCTAGAGTTTTAAAAGTTGCTTTTTTCTTGTTTGCTTAGGTAGTATTGTATCTTTCTGGAATCTTTGATGGAGTTAAGAATAGTTAGTTATAGTTATAGTTTTCCTTAGTTATGATAAAGATTATTGTAACTTTTACTTGATAAAAGTTTGTTATATGTAATTTTGCTATGTTAAAGTTAAAGCCTTTTTTTTTTCATTTAAACACTGCTTGGCCCTTTAGCTCTAGCCCTTACAGGCTAATTCTCACATCCCGATCAACCCATCTCTAATAATCTGTGAGCACCGGTCTTACTGGGAAAGATTCAGCATGTCTAATCTGGCGGCTTGCTTCATCGTGTGCATCTGCCCGGGAGAGCGGAGCATGGCATCTCTCTGAGGCGTCTGCTCCTGAGAGGAGAGCTGTGGAGTCTGAGTTCACTTCCTCTTCCTCCCAGCGTTTTGTTCTGTTTACTCCTCCCACCTATCTTCTAACCAATGAGGGCCAAGCAGTTTCTTTTTATTTAACCAATGACCTTCCTCCATCAGGAGAGGAAGAGGAGGGGAGAGGAGGGAGTGAGAAGGGGAGAGGCAAGGGTGAGAAGGGGAGAAGAGGGAAGAGAAGGGGGAGAGGAGGGGAGAGGAGGAGGAGAGGAGGGGAGAGAAGGGAGAGAAGATGGGGAGAGGAGAGGAAGAGGAGGGGGAGAGGAGGGGTGAGAAGGGGAGACTGTAGGGGCCAAATCATGCAGGCCCATATTCCTACACTGTCTCTTAGTCAGAGAATTCTGAGCAACTGACAAGGTGCAATTGGCACCTGCCACACAGAAGGTGGTTGCCTAGCCTTTTGATGGAAGAGATGTTTTTCAGTCTAAATGACAAACTAGGCATAGACATGACAACAGGTATAGACGTGACCAAAGTCGTCCCCTCCCCCGCTAGGAAACAATGCTAAGGAAGTTTGCATTACCTGTTCCCTCTGTTCACCTTGATATAAAAGCTGTTTGGAAAATAAATGCAGGTGATTTTTCAGAATGTGATTTCAGATAGTCAGGATCTGAATGATCCCCGAACTCCCTCCCGATCCTGTCTGAATAGTGTCTCATTCCCAAGCCTCCACTCCGGTATAAAAAATGATTTATGTCAGGGCTGATCCCCAACAAATGGCGCCCAATGTGGGGCTTACTGGTGAACCCTGAAAAACATGAAAGAATGACCAGACATACGGAGGAGGATGTGAGGAACCTGTGAGAGAAAATTGCACCACATAAGTGAGTGATGAGCGCTCAGATTTAAGTAGTAGAATTTAAAAGGCAAAAGAGAGAAGCAGGAGAGTAAATCTGGAGTAAAACTTTTATAGTTATAAATGTGGGACAAGGAGATCATATTCAGTTATGTATGTTGATAGCTAAAGGAGCTAAAGTGGACCAGAAGAAACAAGGGCAGAGATATTTAGAGTTTGAAAATAGCATATTCCTGCCCTTGTGCTGGCTGTGTACCCAGAGGCATCAGCTTTGCCCCACCCCCCACCCCCCACCCCCACCCCCGGGATTTGGAGAGGCCAGGGTGAGGACCAACTTCTCCTACGCTGCTGCTTTTTCCCCCTGTAGCTTCTGAAAGGGTGGGAAGAACGAAGGGAATACGGCCTTTGGCCCAAGAATCACCTAGGTTACCTCTGAGATTGTGGAAGGCCTTGCACAAGCGTCATAGCCAGCTGAATCTACCCCGCCTGCGCAGTGAAGCCAGAAAGGCAAGCAGGAGACAAAGAAAGTTTAGAGAGCTAATTTTTAACTCCCAGTCAGCGCACAGAGCAGGTCAATAGAGATGCATAGAAGCTATGATTTGACCCATGAGCCAAGGAGCTTATACGGGTAATTACAGAGCTTTTACAGAGGAGAGGGTTCAAGAATTCTCCTAATTTTATGATTACAAGTTAAAATAAAAAGGCAAGGATAGTAAAAATCGGCGCAGCTACACCTGCGGGAGCTTGTGACCGCATGCTACGGTCTTAGAGTAGTCACGCCGGCAGACACCAGAGATCCTGCATATGTCCCAGCCGCCCCAACACGGCATGGCCTATGCCCAGGCAGAGCAAGGAATGAGGAATGGGCACTCCCTGCTCCCTAGTACAGCAGGAAGGCCAAGCCAAGCAGAGGACTGAGGGGCTGTGCCCTGCCCCTTGGTGCACAGCTAGGCTTCAGCTAAGAGTCAAGTCTAAACAGAAAGGCTGCAAAAACGGTAGCCTCAGGAAGCTGCAGCTTCAGGACAGTTAGGAATAAAAAATAAGCAGGTTAACTATGCCTTCTTTTTTCCACTGCACATTTTTTTGCTTCTTTGTCAAAAATCTGCTGTTGGTAGGTGTGTGGACTGATATCAGTTCCTTGCGTCCCCCTGTCTGTCTTTATGCCAATATCAAGCTGTTTTCAGTAACTGTGGCTGTGTAGTGAACTTTAAAGTCAGAGATTGTGATGCCCTTAGAAGTTCCTTTATTGTACAGGGTTGTTTCGGCTATCCTGAGTTTTTGTTTCTCCATATAAAGTTAAGTTTGTTCTTTCGAGGTCTGTAAAGAATTTTGCTGTAATTTTAATGGGCATTTGCATTGAATCTGTAAATTGCTTTTGGTAAGATTGTCATTTTCACTATGTTGTTTCTACCTTCCCAAGAGAATAGGAGATCTTTCCATTTTCTGTGTCTTCAGTTTCTTTCTTCAAAGATTAAAAATTCTTGTCATACAGGTTTTCCCGTTTGTTTAGTTAAGAGTTACTTCAAGATATCTTATTTTATTTGTGGCTATTGTGATGAGAAATGTTTTTTGCCAGGGCTGGTCCCTGACAAGAGACAAGAGGAAGAGGGGGTGGACTAGGAGGAGGAGGGAGGAGGAGTGGAGGGGAGGCTGGGAGGAAGAAAGGAGCAAGAACCATCCAGTATCTTCACACAGCGGTAACTAAAGCAGGTTGTGTAGAAAGGAGTGGCCACAACTAGAGGCATAACGTCCAGCTTCTTCCCTGTACCCGAGCGTGACAAAGGCAGCTTCTGACAGCCTAGCCCACTGAGTCAGGGGTGGGGAAGTGGGGACGACCACCCAGAATGAGCTATGGGTGTGGACCACAGTTGGAAACCTGCTACTTTGTAATCTCAAAGGAAGGAAAGAAAAATGAACTATTTAACCTTTTACCTTATTCCCCACTTTTAGTATAAAATACACCTGAACAGAGAAATGGCTTGTTGGGCCGGGCAGTGGTGGTGCACGCCTTTAATCCCAGCACTCGGGAGGCAGAGGCAGGCGGATTTCTGTGAGTTCGAGGCCAGCCTGGTCTACAAGAGCTAGTTCCAGGACAGGAACCAAAAGCTACGGAGAAACCCTGTCTCGAAAAATCCAAAAAAAAAAAAAAAAAAAGAAAAGAAAAAGAAAAAGAAATGGCTTGTTGGTTATCCAGGCAGAACTAGAACATTAGACCCTCTTGCTGAGGAGACAGACTCTGGCTAGCCAGTTCTCCCATTCCAGACTGGAGGTTGGTGTCGGGGCCGATCGTTTTCCTTAACTGCGGCTGTGGTGTGCTGCACCACTGACCTGCTGGGCCAGATGTGTGTGCTGCATTAGGGGACTCGTGCCTGGCATTGTAAATCAGGTCAAAAGCATACGGCAGCATTTTCTCGGTTGCTGTTCCCTCTTCCCGGATCACCAGCACGGCAGGGTCTCAGCTTTAGACTTTGGCTCTCTTTCTTCATCTAACTCAGCACTACAAGGACTGTAGTGTTCACTGCATGCTTCATCTCGCTGCATCTGTCCTTGCTCCTGACCAGCAGCCAGTCAGTTGTCCCTCCTCTCCTGTTTCCTTGTGTAGTGTTTGTGTACGGCCTGGTATCTTCCTCTATTGCTCACTATCCTTTCTTTTTAAGCCAGAGTCTCTCACTAACACAGAGCTCAGTGATTGGCCAGGTTGGCTGGCCCGTGAGCCCCAGGGATCGCCCTGTCTTCTTCCACCCAGACTCACCCCACCCACACCTCACCAGTAAGGGTCGTATGTACACAGAAAGACCTTTATTGGCTGAGCCATCTCCCTAGTCTACTTCCCTCCTTCCCTTCCTCCCTCCTCTTCCTCCTCTTTTTTTTTTCTTTGAGATGGGTTTCTCTGTGTGGCCCTGGCTATCCTGGAACTTGGTCTGTAGACCAGGCTGGCCTTGGATTCACAGAGATGGCCTCCCAAGTGTTGTGTGCAACCATGGCCTGGATCCTCCTCCTCTTTCTCCCTCTCCCTCTCCCTCCCCCCCCCCCATAAGGTCTAACTATGTTGCTTCAAGCTGACCTTAAGCTCAGGACTCTCCTGTCTCAGCCACACTCAACGTAACATCTGTCACCTTTAGACTGATCCTATGATATAGAAGCTAATGTAATTTCCATTTCACAAACAGGGTTCAGAGAAGTGAGACAGTTATCCAGGGCCACATAGCTACAGGGGGAAAGCTGGGGTTTGAGCTGGGGTGTGTGTTTGGCCTTCTCCTGAAGGTGTCCTGGGCCACCAGTCTCATCAGATGGAGATGAGCCTGGCTCCTCTGTGACCTCCCACAGCCCTCATTGCTCACCTGGGGACACATTCAAATGGTTGCCCAGAGAGCCAGACTGTAACTTGAGCTTCACTAAGCTTGGGGTGACTGGATGGGTGGGCGGGTGACAGCCAGGGCAGGGACATCTGCTCAGACACTATGTGCCTGGATGCCCCTGAGAAGCCACCTGTAATTTCAGTTCCAGTGGATTCAAGACTGTGGTCCCCAGCATGGGCAACAAGCAGACTGTGTTCACTCACGAGCAGCTGGAGGAATACCAGGTGGGTGTGGGTGGCGGGTCCTGCCAGCTGGTGCAGCTTGGTCTGGGTTCCAGGTAGCCAAGAGTCTCAGCAGAGCCTCGTTTGTGACATCTGTGTGTGTTCGGAGCCACTGAAGGGTTACGTGGAGACACCACCAGAGACAGGACTGGGCCAAGTCATTTCTCTTCCACAGGACTGTACTTTCTTCACGAGGAAGGAGATCATGAGGTCAGTGGGGGAGGTGACACCCCAAAACAACCTTCTAGTCACTGCCGGGGCTTTGTGAAATCTTTTTGTTGTTCTGTTTTGTTTGAGAAGGAGCCTGGGCTAGCCTCAAATTTACCTCTCAAGTGTGTGCCATTGTAGCTGGTTGCAGTTTTTTTTTTTTTTTTTAAATATTATTGTAGGAAGTGTTGTGCCCAGAGTATGGACCCCCTCCCCACAAACCACCAAGAGACCAGATCCGATGCAAAAGCAAAGAGTCTTTTTAATTATGAGTTAATTTGGGTCCTCTGTCCATCCGACACAGTGGGTGGAGTAGGAGAGCCCCCTGAGCTGCAATGGGGCAGGGTATATATTGGGGGTAGAGCAAGGAGGAGGTCTTCTAGTGGCAGAGTAACAGTCTCAGGACTGGCACACACCTCTGGGCTAGGGGACTCTGGGACTCTGTCTTGAGCTGATTGGTCAGCTGCGGAAAGGTGGCTATACCTGGAGGACATGGGGGTGGGGGCGGTACTGCATTCCACCATCCTCTGATTGGTGCCCTACCACATGGAGGATACCTGGCAGGTTCTTCCCAGTAATTAGGGTAAGGACGGGCAAGGTTGAGGGCTCAGCACATCCTGCGGAGTCAGGGGCCTACATCTTACTGGGTCTTTTCCGCAGCCTGTCATGGCTGTCAAAGCAGGGAGGGGGTTGGGTGAGGGTCTGGGCCCTGCAGGGAGTATGATGTGAATGTGCAGATGTGTGTAACACGTGCCATGATGCATGTGTAGCAGTCAGATGACAGTTTGTGGAGTTAGTTATTTTCTACCCCCTTGGGTGCTGGGGATGGAATCCAGATGGCTCAGATGTTCTCCTCCCACCATGTGGGTCTTAGGGGTGAAGCTCGGGTCATCAGGCTTGGCGGCAAGTCAGCAAGTGTCTTTACCAGATGATCCATTTCATCATTTTGGTTCCCCTTGTTTTGTTTTTTGGTTTTTGTTTTTTTTTTTTTTTGGATGGTTTCTCTTTTTTCCTTTTCCTTTTTTGTTTTTATTTCAAAGCATGGTTTCTCTGTGTAACCCTGACTATCCTGAAAGTTGCTCTATAGACCAGGCTGGCCTCAAACTCACCGAGATCTGCCTGCCTCTCCCGGAGTGCTGGGATCACAAGTGTGCTCCATCATGCTCGGGATCTTCTGTGGTGTGAAGGGAGCCAAGCTGTAGCACCGGCAGGCTTAAAGCTTTGATGTGGATGTTGCCTCCAGGGTAGAGATGGCTGGCTGGGGAGTCTCATTCTGTCACACGGGCAGAGTTTTGTACAAAGGTAGCAAAGAGCCAAGGAAGGGGCCGAGCCTTGGGGAGGCTCACTGGCATTTAGAGGCTGGAGTTCAGGGCAGAGTTGAGCTCCAGCTCTGAGCTGTGAGTGGCGTAGAGGAGGTCCTGGTGCGGGTGGGTGGCTCCTGGGTGACTGCGGACCTGGCTTGAGCCCAGATGAACCTCCTGTGTCATCCTTCTGTCGGACCATTATCCGTGACTTGGAGCCATGAAACCCAAGCTGGCTGGGGTTCAGCTCTGGGGTGCTCAGGGCCGAGCCCCTCTTGTGTGGACACAGAGCATCTATTATTGATGGGCACACTTCTCACCCATCAGCCCTTTATCTGTGTGAGGACAGTTGGCACGGCCACGTTGGCCATCATGAAGCCTGGGCACGGAGGACTTCCATTTCCGGGGCACACAGGCAGAATCCTGGTGAGTCTGGCATTTCGACTGGCTCCAACTTCCAGACTGTCAAACAGAAAAACTGAGACTGGGAGGAGAGAGGGACTCGCTGGATGCCACAAAGAAAGACAAACTGTGGGTCCTCGATACAGCTCAGCAAAAAAAGAGACTTGCTGCCAAGCCTGAGAACTAAGTTCAAACCCCAGGGCTCATACGGTAGGAGAGAATCCACTCCCATAAGCTGTCCTCTGACCCTGATATATGCACTGTAACATGTACATATACATACATATACACAAATAAATACATAACTGTAAAAATATTTTCAGAGGAGAGATAAACACTAGCAGCCCATACAAGGGGATGGGGTTAGGACTGAGGCTCACCAGCTGTCCTCAGGTATGTAGTCATGAGAAAACCTGGGGACATCCTTGTCCCTCTGAGAAAGTTCTTATCAACTTGGGAACATCAGAGATGCTAAGGATGGCCTCTTTGAGGTTTATTGTGCACCTTAAGGAGGGTACACCATCACCAATGTTTTGTAGATTCTCTTTTTTAAAAAAAATCCAACTAGAGGCCTGCCATCCCCACCCTTAGGGAGCTGAAGCAGAAAGAGTGTGATATAGCCTAGACTACATAGGGAGATAGCCTAGACTACATAGGGAGATAGCCTAGACTATATAGGGAGATAGCCTAGACTATATAGGGAGACTTTGTTTCAAAAACTAGCTGTTTGTGCCCTGCCCCTTGGGGAAACCTGCCTCCTAGCATGGAGAGAATGAAGGAAGCCTGAGACTTGGGTGGGGGAGTCAGTAGAGGCAGGATCCTGCTGATGTAATAATCAATTGTATAGGTTCTATAGCCAGGTCCCTCAAATATTGGCTCTGGAATGATCGATCAGTCATTGGTACCTCCCTCTAGCTCCATCTTCCAAGTCAACTCCTGCTCCTCCTTGTAAGCCCAACACCAATGCCTCCTCCTCCAGGAAGCCCTTCCTCCTTCCCTTGTTTCTGCTTCCCCTCTCCACCTTGGCCTTGTCTGTGGGGAGGGCAATAGAGGTGCCAATCTCCGGCTCTGTGTGCTCAAGGGTCAGACTCCGGCCTGGGCTCCTGGGGACCCAGTGTCCTTCCTTGTGGAGGAACTGCAAGTGTGTAAGGGGAGGGATAAGTCCCTACTGCTTCCTGGCTCTCAGCCTTTCCTGGCTTCTCTCTCCCCACACCAGACTCTTCTATCGCTACCAGGACCTGGCTCCCCAGCTGGTACCCCTAGACTATACCACTTGTCCTGAGGTGAAGGTTCCCTATGAGCTGATTGGCAGCATGCCAGAGCTGAAGGTATGCCTGGGCCTGGGGACAGAGGTGTCTGCATCATGTTCTTGTGAGGTAGGAGCTGCTGGCACCCACAGAAAAGAAAACAGGGCTCAGAGAGACACATAGCTGCCACGAGAGAGACGAGGCCGTGGGCTGGAGTGTGGTGGCACACAGATCTCCTGTAGAGGCAAGCAGGTCTCTGTTTGAGTGTGAGGCTGGGCTGAGCTACATAGCAAGTTCCAAGTCAGTCACGCAGTGAGCTGCTACAAAAAAAAAAAAAAAAGAGAGAGAGAGAGAGAGAGAGAGAGAGAAAAGAAAAAGAAAAGAAGAAAACAAAGAAAGGAAGATGAATTCAGAAAGTTGGGAAGGAGACATCTAAGGGTGCGGGAGGATAAGGCAGAGAGGGGGGATATGTGGGGGGGATGTGGGGGGGATGTGTGTGTGTGTGTGATGTGTGGGTGAGGAATGTGTGCGTGTCAGGGAATGTGTGTGGGAGAGTGAGGGAATGTGTATGTGTATGGGGGATGTGCGTGGGCAGTGTGGGGGGATGTGTATGTGGGGGGCGATGTTTGTGTGTGTGAGGATGTGTGTGGAGGGGATGCGGGAGGTTATGCGGGTGTGTTCTGAGGGGAATGTATGTATGTGTGGGCAAAATGTGTGGGTATGTGTATGTGTTGATGCAGAATCCGTGTTTTGTGTGGGAAAGGGGGATGTGTTTTTGTGGTGGTGGCAGCATATGTGTGTGTGGAGTGTGTGTGTGTGTGTGTGTGTGTAGGGGCAGTGTGTGTGTGGGGGGGTGATGTGTGTCGGGAATATGGGCTCGTGTGGATGGGGAGAATGTGTGTGTGTGTATGGAGAAAACCACCTGTAACCCAGCTCCACGGGATCTGACACTGTCTTGTGGTGTCACTCAGAGGTGGTTGTGGCACCAATCCTTGGGAAATATGAATAGACATTTACTCACCCAGCTGGCAGACCAAAGCACATTATTACCAAAGCCCAACTTGGTGAACCAGTGGAGTTCTGTCTTGGTCACTGTTCTGTTGCTGTGAAGGGACACCTTTACCATGGCAGCTCTTATTGGAGCTTGCTTGCGGTTTCAGAGGTTTAGTCCTTTACCATGGCAGGGAACAAGGTGGTACACAGGCAGGCATGATGCTGGAGAGGTTGAGATTTCTACATCTGGATCCACAGGTAGCAGGATGAAGGAGAGCCACTGGGCCTGGCTTGGACTTTGGAAACCTCAAAGCCTGCCTTCTGTGACACTCTTCCTCCAACACGGTCACACCTTCTAGTTCTTCTCAAGTAGTGCCACTCCCTGATGACTAAGCACTCAAATATATGAGCCTAAGGGGCCATTCTTCTTCCAACCATCCCAGTTCCTTACAGAAGCAAAAATGACTCACAGACAGCTGCATCACCAAAGTCCACCCCAGTGCAAGTGACATCTTACAGAGCTGGGAACCTGGAGTGCCCTGCACAGCCTGCAGGCAGCTCAGCAGATTTGAGAGTGTCCCCTCCAAGTGACTCAGTTGGCCTAGACCTCTTCATGGCTGAGCCTCTTTTAAGCAGCCCCGCTTGTCTGAGAGCATCTCTCAGCAGTCCTTAGAGATCTCTGCTCTTGGAGAAGAAGGGGCCAGTGAATCCGGTCAGTTTCAGGGACTTCCTGAGGCTACATTGAGTCCTGTGCTTCAGGGCTTAATGAACTACCCTGCAGGGTGAAATGTTTCTCCTTCCCTTAGACCAGTGATCCCTTTGGGGGTCAAATGACCCTTTGACAGGGGTCCAAGACCATTGGAAAACACAGATATTTACATTATGACTCATAACAGTATCAAAATTAGTTATAAAGTAGCAACAAAAATAGTTTTATGGTTGGGGGTCACTACAACATGAGGAACTGTGTCAAGGGTCACAGCACTGGGAAGGCTGAGAACCACAGTCCTAGAGCATATCTTCATTTCTCTTCCCTTTCTACATCTGTGCCTTAAGAAGTTTCCTTCTGCCAGGCAGTGGTGGCGCACGCCTTTAATCCCAGCGCTCAGGAAGCAGAGGCAGGAGGATTTTGTGAGTTCGAGGCCAGGGATTCACAGAGAACCCCTGTCTCAAAAACAACAAAGGAACAAAGATGTTTCCCTCCAAGAGGGGATATAAGAGGGTCACACACTAAAATTAGATTAGAAAACTCCCCTCTGGAAAGAGGTACAAACCTCAGGAAGTATCTGATTGATTAGTTTGAGTCACGTGTCCCTCTGGTCTGTTGTGGCTTGCAAGTGAATGTCAGGTTCTGATTGGCTCCCTTGGGTCACAAGGATCTTGTGGAACTGGAACTGGGGTGCGCAGGTGTAGGAGCCTGACTTCCTGTCCCAGACCCCTAGGTCCTGGGGATTGGGGCAGGGATGATACCCGTGGGGATGGGGGGCACTGCAGAGCAGGTATTTGTCTTCTTGTCGCCAGGACAACCCTTTCCGCCAGAGGATTGCACAGGTCTTCTCTCAAGATGGGGATGGTCACATGACCTTAGAGAACTTTCTCGATATGTTCTCAGTGATGAGTGAGATGGCTCCCCGGGACCTGAAGGCCTACTACGCCTTTAAGATTTATGGTGCGTGGGGCCCTGGGGTGGGAACCAGACAGAGACCATCTAATGCTCATCTCCCCAGGGACTCCAATGCCCACACAGCCCTGACCTCCACCCATCCTAGACCTCCTTGTACCCTATTCCAGCCACATTAGGTTCATCCTTTCTTGAATTTGTCAAATGCTTCCAGCCTCAGGACGTTTGCTTTTGCTGTGACCATCTACAGCCCCTTACTGGGAAGCCTATGCAGGGGCTCCACCCCTAGGCCACGCTCCCAGCATCTCACTGGGGGGGGGGGGTTGTAGGCAGAGGCTCCGCCCCTGAGCCACGCCCCCAGCATCCCACTGGGGGTTGTAGAGAGGCTCCGCCCCGAGCCACGCCCTCAGCATCTCACTGGGGGGGGGTTGTAGGCAGGGGCTCCACCCCTGAGCCCGCCCCCAGTCCCTCACTGGGGATTCTAGGCAGGGGCTCCGCCCTGAGCCATATCCCCATCTATCAGAGTGCATATAGGTGTTCGGTATTTTCTGAATGAGGGAATGTGGAATAGTAGCACTTCCTCAGGGCCTGGCCCATAACAGGTACTCAATAGGCAAGCGAGTCAATGAAGAACAGCAGGCGCTCAGTAAATGAACCTGTAAAACTCTCCCAGGCCCCAACAGCTCACAGACTCCATAGCTGATGATCCACTCGTGCTCCTGGGCATGTCCTGGGTGTCCCTGTCCCAGCCACGTCTGCTGTGAAGGTCATCAGGAGCACGTGCGGAGCTCATGCGTGGGCGCAGGTCTAAACACTTAAAACACCCTTTCACACTCTTTTAGCATGTGTGGGGGTTGATGAATGACAAATCACGACGACAGTGGCTGTAAAGTCAGCAAATGAATAAAAAGCAGCCATCGTGATGCCCGGTACACAGTTCGTGCTTAGTACGTGTTAGATGAATGAATGCAAAAAGAGAAAGAAAGAAAGAAAGAAAGAATTAACACATATGCCACACAGTAGGCACCTAGTAACTATTTCTTTTTTTCTTTTTTTTTTTAAATATTTATTTATTTATTATGCACACAATATTCTGTCTGTGTATATGTCTGCAGGCCAGAAAAGGGCACCAGACCTCATTACAGATGGTTGTGAGCCACCATGTGGTTGCCGGGAATTGAACTCAGGACCTCTGGAAGAGCAGGCAATGCTCTTAACCACTGAGCCATCTCTCCAGCCCGTAACTATTTCTTAAATGAGCAGACATGGTGCCTGACACAGTGAGGGCTAAATCAGTTCACTGAATGGATGGATAGATGAAAAGTTATCCCAACAGCTGGCAAACAGAAGGCACTCAATTAATGCTTGCTTACATAAGAGAAAATCAGTCATCATGGTGCCTGACATGTAATGAGTGTCGTATAAGTAAGAGAAACAGTTGTCACAGTGGCTGGGATTGCTCTCAGTGCCTGGGCGTCCTCCTGCCGCCTGCTCTCCCCAGCCCTACTATCGGCCTCACCTCACAGACTTCAACAATGATGACTACATTTGCGCGTGGGACCTGGAGCAGACGGTGACCAGGCTCACCCGTGGGGAGCTGAGTGCTGAGGAGGTGACCCTGGTCTGTGAGAAGGTGCTGGATGAAGCAGACAGCGACCATGATGGGCGGCTGTCCCTGGAGGACTTCCAAAACATGATCCTGCGGGCACCAGACTTCCTCAGGTGCAGGTTCAGACCCAGGGATGAGAATTCCTGCTGCACCGTCTGAGACCGCAGGGAACGACCCCAGATTCTGTGGCTTCAGCCCACTTTGTCCAAGGACCATAACCAGGAGGCTGTGGGCATCTGTGGACAGAAGCAGTGTGTCTGTCACCTGCCACAGTTTTGCTGTGAACTGTCACACAGCTGTCTTGGGCATCCTGGAGTAGGGTCAGAACCCCGACTGCAGGGCTGGGAAGGTGCGTGGCTGACACGGAGCCCCGACTGCAGGGCTGGGGAGGTTCCCAGCACCCACATGGTGGCTCACAACTGTCTGTAACTCTAGATCCAGGGAACACGACGCTCTCTTCTGGCCTCTGCAGGCTCCTGCATTTAACATGCTGCATATACACAGACCCAGGCACACTCCACACACAAATAATAAATAAATAGATAGATGTTTTAAAAACATAACATGGAAGCCACCTGAGGGATGACCCCGATGTTGACCTCTAGCCTAAGTCCCATGGGGACTGTTGGCGATTTCTAGGGTGTCCACATCTCTGTGAATCCCTACTTGCCCCTGGGGTCCCAGTGTCCATTGGGAACTCTCAGTGACATCTCTCCTTCCTCACAGCACCTTCCACATCCGCATCTGACAGCACCCGGAGGACACAGCTGATCTTTCCCCATCTCCACCCGACTCTCTGAATAAACAGGAATCAAACCTACCTCGGCATCTTTGCGTTTTCCTGTGTGGCCACACCCACTCTGGGTTACCATTTTCTTTTTCTTTTTTTTTTCTTTTTCTTTTTTTTTTTTTTGTTTTTTTTCGAGACAGGGTTTCTCTGTGGTTTTGGAGCCTGTCCTGAAACTAGCTCTTGTAGACCAGGCTGGTCTCGAACTCACAGAGATCTGCCTGCCTCTGCCTCCCAAGTGCTGGGATTAAAGGCGTGCGCCACCACCGCCCGGCTGGGTTACCATTTTCCAATCATAAAACAGATTAGCCTTCTTGAGCCACTGCACCTATGTGCACACACCCACCCACACATACACATCTAAAAACAAAACCAGTTATAGCTGGCTGGGGGTGGTACACTCAGGAGGCAGATCTCTGTGGTTCAAGGCCAACCTGGTCTATGTAGTGAGTTCCAGGACAGCCAGGGCTACCAGAGAGACCTTATTTCAAACAAAACAAAATAACAAAAATGAAAATAGGACAGGATTGGTGGGGCACAACTTTAATATTATCACCCAGGAGGCGTAGCAGGCAGATCTCTGTCAGTCCTGGCACAACCAGGAATACATGAGATCCTGTCTCAATTAACAACAATAGCGATTGTGATAACTAAAAGCCCCAAGTCCTCCTTGTCTCTTTTCTGCATGCTCCCCCTGAGAAAGAACGGCTGTCTTCTCCATCTCCCAAATGAAGACCAGAGAGGTCTACGTTCATCACAGTTCACACAGCCCTTCAGAGGCCACTGCCAGTCCCTGCCCTGTACAGGTGCCTTTGGGTGGGGGGCATGCATGTGCACGTGTGTTCTCATACAAGTGGGCTGTTGCCCCTCAGAGGCTGTCCAAGGTGGCTTTAATTCTTTTTATAATATTATTAGTGTGGAAGAGACACACGTGTGCCACAGCGTGTGCGGAGGTCAGAGGGCAGCTTGCGGGAGTCTGATGTCTCCTTCCACCGTGGGTCTGATCTCTCCTTCCACCACGGGTCTGATCTCTCCTTCCACCACGGGTCCCACAGCTCAAGCTCAGATCCTCAGGCTTAGCAGCCTTACCTGAGTCATCTCACCTGCTCAGATGTTTTTAACACTGGTCTGGAATTCCCTAAGTAAGCTAACGTGGCTGAGTGTGGAATGTGGAGCCCACGGATACAGAGGGCTAACCCATGATCAGAGAGGTTGGGATACAGGCCTGGCATGTGTTTTGCCCACAAAGTCACTGTGGTATTTTTAAGGTTATGCTTACTACATATATGTGTCAAAACGTGTGTGTATCAACACATGTATATGGAGGTCGGAGGACAACTTTCAGAGTTGGGTCTCACCTTCCATCACGTGAGTACCAGAGATTGATCTCAGAAAGTCAGGTTTGCCTGCAAATGTCTTTACCCCCTTACCACTGGGCCGTCTCACCCGAGTCCCTAAAGCGGTAATACTATTATTATTAGGACAATCAGGTCCTTTGGCTGGCAACTGCAGAATTCAGCCCCATAACCTCTTTCTTTAGCACAGTTCCCTGGTTGGGAGGACAGCGGTGGGGACTACCAAGACAGAGGGGATGTGTCAGTACCCAGGGGCGAAAGGCGGTGGTGGGAGGTATTCCTCAGGTAGCCAGTCCTGGGCTTCTGGCAAGTCTACAGGCTCTGATTTGGTGGCCTGGACTGACAGGGCCCTCACCAGCTTTTCACGCCAGGCCTTGACCCCTGAGACCATCTCCCTCCAGCTGGCAGGTCTGGAGGCTGTGGAGGTGGCTGCACCAGCACCGGCACCTGCGGAGTGGTGGGCACTGTCCCAGCTGGATGCTCGAGTCATAGCTCTATGATGCTGTGCCACAGGCCTGGCGTCCCCCAGCAGGTTTGTGGCGGACAGGTGCGAAGTGAGCCGCTGTTTCACTCTCTGGCTGGTCTCTGGCAGTGTCCTCAGGTTCTTCCACAGTTTCTGTTTCGCCTCCCCAAAAAGTGCTTTTGGGGAGCTGGGGGCTGATGCGAGCTTTCCATCAGTTGCGGTGGAAGGTTTCCTTTCCAGAGCCTGGAACAGGAAAAGTGGACCAGAGAAGGGGAAGCCTGGGGCCCGGCTGATCAGAAAAGCTCCATGCAGCCAGCCCCTCTACCTCGTCCCAGGGCGCTGGAGCTCCCAAGCCCGATCCCTGCCCCATCCTGCCTATCTCTGTGTGTGGCTTCACCACCGCTCCCAAGGTTTGGTAAATTTTCTCAAGAGTTACAGCTGGGCTGGAGGCGTGGCTCAGTGAATTTATCCAACTTGCTTCTGGGGATCGCTTCTATTGTCAGCATCTGTCCCACCCTTCTCCATTTCGGAGGGGATGTAGAAGACAGGATTATTAAGACCCCCGAGGTCCCTAGCCACAGTGGTCCATGTATTGCCTTCTGTCACTCTGTTCTGCAGACACTCTGAGCCCCAGGACTTTGCACAGGTCTCCCCACTCTGGGAGCACCCTCCCTGCATCTCTGTGTCTGGCTGCTCATCCTTCTCATATTCCAGCTCCCGGAGACCTCCTCCAGGATGTCTTCTCTGACTTGCACAAACATGTCTGAACATCAGTTTGCTTCATCCCCGCCCCCATTGTCAGAACTTCCCCACCAGGCAGGAAGCCTGAAGTACAACAAGGCTTCAACCTAAAGGCCCCACTAGCTTCAAGGAGCTACAGTACATGTATCCATAATTTTCTGGGTTTTTGAGACAGGGTTTCTCCATATAACAGCTCTGGCGGTCTCGGAACTCACTTTGTAGACCAGGCTGGCCTTGAACTCAGAAATATGCCTGCCTTTGCTTCCCAGAGTGCTGGGATTAGAGGCGTGCCCCACCACCACCCAGTTCATGTATCCATAATGTATTCATTCGCCTACACTGAAGATTCATTAGCCTAGCTCCTTTAGATGGTGAGGGCTGGTCGGTCCTGGGGGCCACACCTTTAATTCTAACACTCAGGAGGCAGAGGCAGGAGGAGTTCAGGCCAGCCAGGGCTACATAGAAAGACCTTGTCTTAGCAGAAACAAACAAAAAATATGCCAGGTCCTCTTGGAGGGGTGGAGACAGCAATGCAGAATGAGCCACCTGGACTGCAAGGTTTGATGGGAGAAATAGACAGGAAACACACCTAGAATAAACAAAAACCTATCAAGTTGGAAACTGTTCTCTGCACCGACTACACAGGGTGATATGTGTGTGGAAACTCTAGATCCTGGCAAGTGTGCAATGGCTCTGTGGAGGTACTAGAGGAGAACAGCACAAAAGGTTCTCAGGGTGGCTAGTGTGGCAGCTGAGGGCCAGGACCTGGAGTTGCAGGGCTCTTGGTTGCTTCTGACTGGGCGAGGATGGAACCCCCACGAGCTGTGGAGTCTAATCTCCTAGTCTGGGAATCACCGGGAGATGTTTTTCTTTAATCACACAGCTACAGAGGAGGGCATTTTCTGGAAAGAGTCTGCTCTAGCATCTTTCTCTGCCAGTCCCCGACCCAGGGCCTGCCTACCTCCTCGGGTGGGCAGGAAGCAGGCCTCTGGCCTTCCGTGGGGCCACAAGCTTGGCTTTCAGCGCCCTGAGCCAGGGCACTCGAGTACAGGAAGAGATTTTCGTAGTCAACGTTTGCTGGATCCTCCTGAAAGGTACGGAAGAGATATAGGGTTCAGACTCAACAACAGGAAAGGCTGGGGTGGGGAGAACCCTCGGTGGGGGCCTCTTAAACCGACCTCAGAACCTAGGCCATGCCCACTGAGTCTCAGTGGAAGAGCCCTGCCCACAGTGTATAGGCCAAACATCATACTCAGATGAAAGAACCCAGCTCACGAGTCTCAGATGATAGAAAGAGCTCCAATTACAGCAGACATTAGGACACGCCCATCAGCCGTCAAAGGAAAGAGCCCCTCCCACAGCCCGTTTAGGCCACACTCATAATTCATAAACTGAAAGAGCCCAGTGCACATCCGGTAAGCCACGCCCACCAGCCTCAGAGGAAAGCCATTCCTGCAGAGGAACCCCTGTGAATTCCATGCAGGAGGTCTCTGGCACTCCCTGGCAGGCAGCTGGGGTCCCCTCACCCCTACCTGGCCACAGGCTTGGGTCAGCAGCTCCCCATACGGCCGAATAGGTTTCTGCTGGTGGAATGAGACAAGGGCGTCCAGAGAGGCATGGGTCGTATGGTCCCCAGCAAGGATGAAAGTCCCGTCGTCTGAGAGCTTTACCATGAAGTGACGGCAGCAGGTCTGAGCTCTGTGGAGACACTGCTGGGGTTGGGATTGCACACACTGTGCCCCGGTTTCGCCAGTTACCACACAGGACTTCTAAGGCCCACCTCAAGAGTTCTTGGTTGGATGAAATAAGGGATACAATATAATTGTGGTGCTTGTCCGTCATCGCTGCACTGGGAAGACTGAAGGCCAGAGGATGGAGGCTTGGAGGCCAGCCTGTCTCAACCAAATAGTAGTAGCAAATTATAGCAATCTTCTCATTGTAACACTATTTCATGTAGTCCAGGCTACACTGAAACTTACTGTGTAGCCAGGGATGACCTTGAATTCCAGAGTCTCCTGTTTCAGCTTCCCCGTGCTAGGCTAACAGATGTGCACCCCATACTACATAGCAAGTTCGAGGCCAGCCTGGCTATGAAACCCTCTCCCAAATAGAGAGAGAGAGAGAGAGAGAGAGAGAGAGAGAGAGAGAGAGAGATTCCCTTGAGTGCTTCAAGTTGCCAAAATCAGGCTTTGAGACCCACGAGCTCTTGGCACTGGCCTTCCTGACTCAGATTCATGTCACTCACTTGAAGGTGAAAGTTGGAAGGAGGCAGGGGCCACCCTCAGATTCCTGCCTATCCCACCCTCAGACACAGGTCTCAGGTCCTCCCCAGTGTTCCACGACTGCTGGATATAGCTGGCCTGCATACCAGGCAGAGCCCTCAGGCCTGCGGTGCCTTTGGCCTAACGTCCGCCATGGCCTTACTTGTAGGAAAGGGTGTAGCCCACGTGGCTGTGACTGACTCGGATAAGAAAGGTTCCCGGTGGTTGACGCTCCAGCAGGTTCTCAGCAGCTCTGGAAAGGCACACAGAAAGACTGGCTGATACGGAGACAGCAAGCATGGGGGATGGCTTAGCAACCTGGGGTTCCATTTGGCTCTGGTTATGCACGGGGCGCTCTTACAGTATTGCACTTGGCAGACTAGCTCTCTGACCTGTCTGTCCTGTGCCTGCACCTGCACCCCCACCCCTCTGAGCAATGCACACAGCAACCTTGGACTCCCATGTGCACCACAGTACCTGTACATCTCTCACTTAAGAATGGGATAAGTTTCCCACCCCTAAAAACAATCACATTTAGTTTCTATTCAATGTATTTCCAGGCTATGTAGAAGGAAGAACTGAAGGCCTGATCCGAGATTGACCAGATGGTTCTGACAAGCCTGCCGGCCCGAATTCAATCCCTGGGACTCACATGGAAGGAGAGAACTGATTTTCACAAGCTGCCCTCTGACCACCACACACATAGTAAAAAATAAAAGATAATAAAAATGTAAATATCTTATTACTAAGAAAGAAAAGTTCTCCTTTAATCCCAGCACTCGGGAGGCAGGTGGATCTCTGTGAGTTCGAGACCAGCCTGGTCTACAAGAGCTAGTTCCAGGACAGATTCCAAAGCCACAGAGAAACCCTGTCTCGAAAAACAAAACAAAAAAAGAAGAAGAAGAAGAAGAAGAAGAAGAAGAAGAAGAAGAAGAAGAGAAAGAACAGTTCTGACCCAGCCTCAACAGGTCTAGTGTACGTGTGTTCACGCAAACCGTATCCTTCCAGGTCTTTTTGGGAGAATCCTTGTTTCCCATCTTACACCTGTGTGGGCAGGCATGTGCTGTGAGATCCAACCTGTGAGTCAGAAGGGAACCACCCACTCAGCAATCTGATGCCTTCTCTTGGACCCAGCACCCGGGAGGCAGACGCAGGTGGATCCCTGAGAGTTAGAGGCCAATCTATTTCCAGGGACAGCTAGGGCAGGCAAATGTGCTCAGACACATTCAGAAACCAGAGGACAGTCCTCAGAGTTGGTTTTCTCCTTTTGCCTTGTGGGTCCCAGGAACTGAAGCTGCATTGTCAAGTAATGTAACACTTCTAACCTGCACTATTGCTTTGCTCCCAATTCCACAATTTCGCTGCTTTTGCAAATTCCTGTGAGCCCCTACTATAAGAAGCCAAGAACCTGGAAACACCGGGCCCTGTCCCAGTAACACCAGGAAGGCCCTGGAGCTTGCAGGCCTGCACTTTCAGGTAGCTGAGGATGACCTTGAACTCATGACCCCTCACCCCCCACCTTCTGAGTACTGGGTTGATGGTGTGCCTGGTTTATGCACAGTGGCTTTGTGTACACCAGGCAAGCACTCTCCCAACTACTCAACTAAGCGACACACACTTTAGCAATCAAGCCATAGCCACAGCCTCTGAATAAACAATGTCCAGTCTTTTTTGGTGGTTTGAAGTGCTGGGCTTTGGACAGTGTCACTTGGAGGCTTTTGATGCTGATCCTGAAGTAGATCTCCTCCTAGCTTCCACTTTTGCCTGCCTGCAGTCCTCTGAGGTCACACACAGTATCCACAGCAGAGGCTATGGTCTGCCTATGCACTGAGTCTAGAGTCCAGCTGGGCTACGCATCTGCGCATCTGCCATGGGACTCAGGCAGGGGTCTAACCTTACCTGCTCCTCAGCTTCCCGTGGCCCGGAGCGAGTGTGAGAATGATGTGAACAGGGGCCTTGCCCCAAAATGTCCACTGTGGTTAGGGGTGATGGACCTTGAAGCAGGATAAAGCAGGATGGGGTTATCATTATGTCCTTACTGTCGCGTGATGGTGCCGTGGAACCACTCTGGGATCCCACCTTGGGCCAGCTGGTCCGCCTGGGTGTGCACAAACCAGTCCAGCCGAGGGGGCAGTGGCGGGGGCAGCTTCCAGACTTCTGCTTCTGCCATGGCATCCAAAGAAGGGTCACCTGGAGGGAGGAGGGAGAGGTGGGTGCCTCTTGGCTCTAACATTGCACACGCTGGTACCTGGTTTACTGGGAGCCATCCTGGTGGCCACAGCAAGGCGGTTCCTGCAGACACACTGTTGTGTCACAGGCTGTTGCTAGGTCGCGAGTGGCTGTGAAGGAGGGTCAGGTGTCTTCCTCTACTGTCCCACACCATGGTTTTGTTTATTGATTGTGTGTGTGTTCATGGGCCACAGTATATATGTAGGGAAGTCCAGACGATTTCTGGGAGTCGGCTTTCTCCTTCCACCATGTGGTTCCCTGACTGAAATTCAGGTCTTCAGGCCTGGCAGCAAGCACCCTTTCATACTGAACCATCCCCAGCTAAACCAAGATTTTGTTGTTGTTCTTGTGTTTTTAGACAGGGCTCTCTACATAGCCCTGGCTGTCCTGGAACTCGCTCTGTAGACCAGGCTCTTCCCAAATGCACAGAGATCCACTGCCTCTGCCTCCTGAGTGCTGGGATTAAAGGAGTGCAGCACCACTGCCTGACCAAACTGATATATTTTTAAAAGTTTTTTTATCTCTCTCTCTCTCTCTCTCTCTCTCTCTCTCTCTCTCTCTCTCTGTGTGTGTGTGTGTGTGTGTGTGTGTGTGTACATGAGCAGGCGCCTTTGGTTCCTAGAAGGCACCAGATCTCCTGGAGCTGGAACTGTGGGTGGCTGTGAGCTGCTCCATGTGGGTGCTGAGCACTGAACTGGATTCTTTAAGAGCAGCGAGTGGCTGAGACATCTCTTCATACCTCACCTTAGATTCTGAGAAGGGTCTGTCACTAAAGCTGGGGCTAGTCACAGAATTCCAGGGTCCTCCAATCCCCATTCCCAGTCCCCCACCCGTGCGGGACCTTTGCTCTGCTCTGTCGTCTCCATGCCTGCTGGAAGGCAAATCTGAACTCAGGCCTTTATGCTTTATGCTCACAACAGAAGCATTTTACGGACTAAGTGGGCTCTTGGTTTAGTGTGTGAGAAAGGGTAGCCTGAACCTCACCACGTAGCCAAGGATGGCCTTGAACTTCTAACCCTCCTGCATTTACCTCCTTAGGTGACAGCTCTTCCTGTACACTGTTAATTCATACTCGTGTTGGCTGATTTACACTCAGGGTACCACAGGGCTTTGTAGGCTGGTGACATAAAGGACGTGGTAAATACATGTAAAACAGTATTGAGTATTAAGCTGAAGGAAAACTAGCAAAAACCTCTTCCCCAGGGCTCCTCTATCACTCGTCATTCAGGCCCTAGACCTGAGCTGTGCATCCCCACCTCCAGTCCCGGAAGATGGGTTGATCCCACAAGGAGAGGTCTGTTGACATAGGGTGGTGGTGCAGCTTAAAGGTACTCAGAAGAACGTGATTAACTGAATTGATTAGTGAACACTTGATAACCAAGCTGCATACTGTCTCTGTTCCCATTTCCTGTCCCTCTCTCAGCAGGGTTCCACGGAGGTGAACCGTTTCTTCCAGGCTGGGGTCTCCCCAGGATGAGGCCTGGGGTCACAGACATCAAAGCATGTGGAATTAGAGGCAGATAGATTATCTGGGTTCAAATTCTTCCTTGCATAGCTGCTGTGTAAAGTCACAAACTTAACTGCTTGGGGCCTTACATCTGTCGTTAAGTGATATTTTCGGAAGGGCTGGGACAGAATGCTATATAGTCGGCACAATACATAGATGGCTTACACACCTGTGTGTATGGAAAAGTGAGAGGCAGCCTTCCTTCTCCCTCCCTCCCTCCCTCCCTCCCTCCCTCCCTCTCTCCCTCCCTCCCTCTCTCCCTCCCTCCCTCCCTCCTTCCCTCCCTCCTTCTTCTTCCCTCCCTCTCTCCCTTCCTTCCTTCCTTCCTTCCTTCCTTTTTTTGAGACAGAGTTATGTAGCCCAGGCTGACCTTAGTGTAGCTGAGGATAATCCTGAACTCCCGGTCCTCTCACTTACCCCTCTCAAGTCCTGGGGCGACAGCCTGCTCGACCAAGCCCAGTTTACACTTTGCCAGGACTCCAGGTATTGCTATATATCCATAATCCCCACACTTGGGAGGCTGAGGCAGGACTGCTATGAGCTCAGAGCTACCCAGGACTACCCTGGATTAAAAACAGAAGGCCAGATGTGGTGGCATACATCCATCATCTCAGTACTTACAAGGTGGAGACAGGAGGATTAGGAGCTTCTAGGCCACTCTTGAAAGTAATAATAGTGGAGCTGAAATTCTCCTATTACCTGGCTTTTATTTATTTTATTGCTTATTTGTTTTTTAAATGTTTTTATTTATGTGTATGTATGTGCTTCTCTGTGTATAGATATAAATGTTTATTAGCCCCGTGTGTGCAGGTACCACTGGAGGCAGAACATGGCACTGGGTACCTGGAGATGGATTTACAGGTGGTCATGAGCCTCCCCATGTAGGTGCTGGGAACTGAACTCGGCTCTTCTGCAGGTGCAGCGTGCACTCTTAACTGTTGACCCTTCTCGCCAGTGTTATTCTGATATTTAAAAAATTTTAGTGTGTATGTGGGAGTGTCCATGTGCGGACACACGCATGTGCTGATAGATGTGTGTAGGCCTGCAGTTGACATCAGGTGTCTTCTTCATTCTCTCTCCCCCTTATGTATCTAAGCAGAGTCTCTGAATGAGCCGGCAGCTTCTGGGAGTCTGACTAGCCAGCTGCCCTAGGGATCTCCTGCCTCCACCTCCCACATGCCGGGATGACAGGTGACCCTCGCCTGCCAGGCCAGACTTTACGTGGGTGCTAGGGATCTGAACTCAGATCCTCGTGACCCTCTGCCAAATGCTTTATCGACTGAGCCATCTTGTCAGCCCTTCCCTTTTTTCTTTCATTATTCGCCCTGCTTCACAGGCCCAGACACCTGCCACGGTGCTCCAGTTTTCACACTGTTCATGTAGACTGGAGTCCTGGCCCCAGGGATGCAGCAAGCAACCCATCCAGGCTGTGTAAGTACACGCTGACAAAAACCACCCACCAACACATCTCCCAGAATGAATCCCGTCATGAATGGACTCTACTTCTTTCTTAGTATAAAATATAGCTGAACCCAGTCACAAGCTGGGACAGAATTCTCTCTTTATTTCAGAACACTTCTACACATCTTTAAGACCCAATGTGAACATCTCCTCCTCCAGCCAGCCTTCCTTCTCCCTCCCCTCCCCAGGAGTTTCCCCTTTGTTCCTTCCTCTAATGGCTCAGGCTGGACCCCACGGAGCTGGAGGACTTTCTCTGTCTCATCCTCGTTACTTTCTTAGGACACAGGGCCAGTGGGTCGTTGGTTTCTCTGAAACAGGTCTCACTGCATAGCTGAAGCTAACCTCAAACTCATGATCTAGCCTGCCTCGGCCATCAGCATGCTGGAATGGCAGGTGTGGATAACCATGACAGAGCTTGCAACGGTTCCCTCCTCTGGTAAGCCCTTCCCGCATCTCCCAGCCCCACCTCACCCAGTGCTGGAGCCCCAGAGGTTCTGCAGCTGGGGAATGTTGGGATGCAGGGATGCCAGGATTCTGGATGCTGGGTTCAGGATGCAGGATACTTACTGACCTTGGAGAGCCTGGGCTGTGTTCCGCAGGACTCTTGAGCTGCCGCTAGAGCCCAAGTTTCGCTTCAGGGTCTGCACGTCAGAGGGGCAGGGCGGCAGCCCCAGCCAGTTCCTGTTTCCTCCAGCAGGTGAACCAGGGCGGGACCAAGCTCCGGGCTTGTGTCTGTAGCTGAAGCTGATACTGGCTGATACTGGCTCCTGCCACGCCTTTGCTCAGCTCCTTGGAACCCCCAAGACAGTTGCAGCCCCTTTTGAAACAGTCTCATGTACCGCAGGTTAGCCTGGAACTTTCTATGTAGATGAGAATGACCTTGAACTAATGATCCTCCTGTTTCCACTACTCGCTGCTGGCAGTGGAATCCAGAACTTAGTTTGCTAGGCAAGCACTCTGCTAACCGAGCTGCGTTTCCCGCCCTTATTGCAGTCCCAAAGATCAGGAAAGGGGCCAGTAGGGACTGCTTGGTGGGTATGGGGTGCAGGAACAGAGTGTAGACAGGGATCAGCATGTGCCAAAGCCCTGAGGCTGGACAGAGACATTGAAGGACAGACTCTCACTCTCACACAGCTCTATCCTGGCTTCCTTTGCAAACACACCTGAAATGACTTTCTACAATCACGGCCTTCTAGGCCAATGTGAAAGCCTGATGGCTCAGGTTTATAGTCCCAGCATTCAGAAACCCGAGGCAGGAGGATTTGGGGTTCCAGGCTAGCTTGGGCTACAAACTCAAAATCCAAACAAAACCAAAGTACAAAAACAAAACCAGAGTATCCATCTATTTTATTTTGTTTGATTTTCTAAGACTGGGTCTCCTGGAGCCCTACCTGGCCTGGAACCCACTATATAGCTGAGGCTGGTGCAAAGCTCTGCTCTTCTTGCCTACACCTCTGGAGGCTGGCATTGCAGGTATTACCATATTTTCTGTGGTAGTGGAGTGGGACCCTGGGCTCCATTCACAATAGGCAAGTACCCTGCCGACCGAGCACAGGTCCAGTCTATGCCTGAATCCTCTTCTGACTTTAAAATGAACTGAAACATTGTGTGTGTGTGTGATCCTGTGCATACCCCGGGTCCTGTGCCTAACAGGCAAAGGTTGTGCGCTGCCTGCCCCACCCTCTCTCGACTCTACACCAAGGGGCAAAGCTGCTTTCTCCTCTCTAGGGAGATACTTTCTAAGATGGAGCTGGGAGCCTTTCTGAACCCCTGCTCTTCCCAGGCAGTGTAGGCTTGGGAGTCTTTGGGTTGACAAAGGCCCAACAGAGAAGGAAACCAGCGCTGGTCCCATGATGGAGCCACTTAAGCAATGGGCCCAGGGACTCAGCTGAGTCAGCTCATTGGGGTGTTACTGTAGCTTAATTCGGTGCCTTTTGGCTTGGCTTCGGGTGAGATGGGCTCCGATTTCACTGGCTGGGCCAACCTCTCTGATCCTCCTCATGCCTGCTTGCTCTGGGGGTGGTCCCCAGCCTCCATGGTGAAGAAGAGAGGGTTCAGAAGGCACTAGACCAGCGTAGTGTCACCTGGACAATCAGGACTTTGGGGTTCTTGTGTACATGGGGCTCAGTCTCAGAGAACAAGAGCTGTTTCAGCTTGGCTCTTGGACTGCGGTCTTCCACAACATAACATCTTCCTGTCAGCAGTCAAAGCAGAATTCCCCCACCCGCCATGTCTGTGGTTCACAACGGAACACACTTTCCAAAGGAAGGAGAGGGCAGTGACGGCCACTGAGGCAGTATGAAGAGGGATGTCTGATGGAAGGTAACGGGGGACCCTGAGGTCCCTCTCCCTCGGTGTCAGCTTCTTTTGTTGACCTCATAGGGTGAACTGGAGTGGACAATCCTCTGGGTAGGTAGTTGCTGCCAAACTCCATCAGCTTAGACCACAGACTCAGAGGACAGGGGGCAGGTAGGGAAGGGGCAGGGTGGCCATTTTATACTTCTCTCTGCCTGGGGCATCTGCTTCTACTCTTGCTTTTGTTCATTCATTTGTGCATTTCACAAACACTGGCTGGGCTCGAGTTCTGTGCAAGTACCATACTGGATGTTAAGGTTGAAATGGAAGAAATGATGGCGTATCTGTCACTTTGAGAGGCTGAGGCAGGAGGAAGGCTAGATCTGGGCCAGTCTGGACTGTACCCTATCTCAGAAAAGGGGGTGGGGTGTGCAAGAGTAAGATGGCTCAGGGGGTAGAATCCAAGGGTAAGGTGGCTCAGGGGGTAGAATCCAAGGGTAAGATGGCTCAGGGGGTAGAATCCAAGGGTAAGATGGCTCAGAGGTAGATGGCAAGGGTAAGGTGGCTCAGGGGGTAGAATCCAAGGGTAAGGTGGCTCAGGGGGTAGAATCCAAGGGTAAGATGGCTCAGGGGGTAGAATCCAAGGGTAAGGTGGCTCAGGGGGTAGAATCCAAGGGTAAGATGGCTCAGGGGGTAGAATCCAAGGGTAAGATGGCTCAGGGGTAGAATCCAAGGGTAAGATGGCTCAGGGGTAGATGGCAAGGGTAAGGTGGCTCAGGGGGTAGAATCCAAGGGTAAGGTGGCTCAGGGGGTAGAATCCAAGGGTAAGATGGCTCAGGGGTAGAATCCAAGGGTAAGATGACTCAGGGGGTAGATGCTTTTGTTGCCAAGCATGATGACCAGAATTTGATCCCCAGGAATCATGGAGTGACTCCTCCTACGAGCTGTCCTCTGAACACACAAACACACAGAAAAAAAATAAATTTTTAAGTTTGGAAAATAAAAGGTTCTACTACCACATTGGGCTTGAACTGTGAGCCTAGGAACCTTGGAAGGCACACGTAAAACATGGCACCACACACTGCAATGAGGGAGGTCCTGCCCAGGCTATAAAGTATATGAATTAATAACTGGCTGCTCCTGGGTATGATGGCCATGGCTTGAATGGCAGCCCTTGGAAAGCAGAGACAAATAGATCTCAGTTAGACAAGGCCAGCTAGGACCACATGAGACCCTATCTCAACAAGACACCAGAAGCTGTGTGTCATTACAACTGGCATACAGCCAGAGAAGGCAAATCCACAGAGAGATGACATGCTGCCAGGGGCAACTCACCAAGGGGGACAACAGGAAGTAGCGCCTGCTCACGGGGACTGTGTGATAAAGCATACTCTAAACTTGACTTTGGGGAAGATACTTTAGTCTATAATTGTGTTAAAAACCTGCCCAAGAGCTGGAGAGACAGTCCTTGCTTGAGTACCAGGATTTGGTAACTCTGGCTCCAAGGGATTCATTCGATGCATATTCTGGCATCCATGGGCACCAAGCATAAATGTGGTGCACAGACATACAGGAAAACACTCAAGACAGAAAAAGAAAAAAGCCTTCCCTAGCCCTGTAAATAGCCCGCCCTGGCCTCACATCCCTTTCCTTCCCCTCCGAAGGTCTCTAGTGCTGAGGAAGACCTGCTTGGCTCCCATGCTCTGTTCCTTAATCCCCCTTTTAGCTCGGCTCTTTCTGTTGTCATTACCTTCCTGTTACACTGAAAAACATCTCCCTGTTACTATTTCCTGCAGACTTGAACCCTGTTCTGTGAATGCTGGTATGGAACCCAGACTGCACGTGCTTGGCAGGACCAGATGTGTGGAGTCCCTTCTGAGGGATGTCAACAGGATGCTTTTCTCTTTCGTGTTTATGGGTGTTTGGCCAGCCACGTGTCTGTGTCCTCTGGAACTGGAGTTAGGGATGGTGTTGAGCCACCAGGTGTGTGGTGGAAATAGAACCAGGGTCCTCTGCAAGCACAAGTGATCTTAATCCCTGGCGAATCCCTTCAGCCCTGTAGGAAGGATCTTAGTGTGCCTTTGTAGCCATTGCTCAGCTGACCCTGCAGCCTCCACCCCACCCCACTTTCCCAGCTCTCCCTACTGTCCTGTGAGGTGGGAGCTGGGATTCCTCCAAGGCACACATGGTAAGGGAGTGATGAGCCGGCAGCCCCTTACCCACAATTAAGGGCTCAGAACAAAGCCAGAAAGGTTTGGTGAAGATTGCCTGTCATCCCAGCACCCAGAGGCTACGACAGGAGGCCTGCTTTGAGCTGCAGAGCAGCCTGGGCGTCATACTGATCCTTGCCCCCAAACCACGAACCCTTATCTGGGTGGCTCAGAGTGGTGCTAACCATCTGCACACGTGCTTGGTCTGTGCTCTAGCACGCACGTGCTTGGTCTGTGCTCTAGCACGCACGTGCTTGGTCTGTGCTCTAGCACGCACGTGCTTGGTCTGTGCTCTAGCACGCACGTGCTTGGTCTGTGCTCTAGCACGCACGTGCTTGGTCTGTGCTCTAGCACGCACGTGCTTGGTCTGTGCTCTAGCACGCACGTGCTTGGTCTGTGCTCTAGCACACACGTGCTCCCTGGGAGGAGTCCTGCTGTCGCCGCATGGGGTCTCCACGATTGCCCCAATCCTGGGTGCAGAGTCTGACCTTCCTTCGCGAGTTAGCAGTCTATTCATATAGGATGAAGCACGTGAAATGCAACTGCTTTGGCAGAAGATTCTGGAAGCTTCTGCCCAGTTCCCCCTGTGCTCCCTTGCTCATTCTATTAACTCCCCCACCCCAGACAGTTTTTCTGTGTAGCCCTGGCTGACTTGGAACTAGATCTGTAGACTAGGTTTGCCTCAACTCAGAGATCCACTTGCTCTGCCTCCTGAGAGCTGGGATCAAAGGCGAGCACTGCCACCCTGACTTCATTTGCTGTTTTTCTACACAGTGAATCATCTTAGCAGAGTGTGTGCTATAGTTCGACTGGAGCTTGTGATGAGAAAAGCTGTGTGCCAGAAGTTGGGCTCTCTATGAACTAAAGAGGTGGTGGACTTCTTGTGTGTTTTTTTTAAGGTGTCAGATCCCCTGGAAATGGGGTCACAGAGAGTTGTGAGCTGCCATGTGGTTGCTGGGAATAGTAGAACCCAGGTCATCTGGAAGAACAGACCGGGGTTTTAACTGCTGAGTCATCTCTCCAGCACTGCAGGCAGATCTCCATGAGTTCGAGACTAGTCTGATCTACAAAGTGACATCCAGGGCTGTTACACAGAGAAACTGTCTCAAAAAAAACAAAACAAAACAAAACGAACAAACAAAAAAAAAAACAACAAAGAAAAGAAGAAAAAGAAAAAAGAAATTTATTGCTGGGCAGTGGCGGTGCTTGCCTTTAATCCCAGCACTCAGGGAGGCAGAGGCAGGTGGATATCTCTGAGTTTGGTCAGCCAGAGATACACAGAAAAACCCTGCTTTGAAAAACCACACACACACCAAAAAAAAAAAAAAAAAAAAGAGGTGACCTTTTAAAGGGCAAGGTCTTCGGGGAGTGTGGCAGAGTGCACCAGGTGGGAAGCCCACAGTGAGAGCCAGAGGGGAGGATGTCTACGAGCTGAAGAACAGTATTTGCTAGACAAGACAGGCTGCAAGTAACTCCCAGCTGCTGTAGCTGCACTCACAAGGCTGTCACGGGACCACACCAGCAAAACCACACCAACCAAAACGCTAGCGCGGATGGGGGAGGGGCTCATGAGGTCCCACCCCTAGCTGAGGAGCCACTGGCAAGGGTCCCTGGGGAGAGCTGCCAAGTGCTCAGCTGCTGAGCCTCTCTGCAGACCCCAGGTCACTTTTACTAAAAGGCACCCATTAAATCTGCCACCTGGTAGGTGCTGGGTGAGCAGAACTGCTTTTCAAATGCACTTTAATCTGTTTTCAGGTGTGTACTGGTCAGTGTAAACAGGAAACATTGGAGACTTCAGGGGAGGGAGACTATTGCTGGTATGTTGGTTTTAATTTCAAAAAAAGGGGAAATTTTGACGCTGACAGTTTGGACTGACAGCAGCTTGGGGAAGGGTTAGAGTAAAAAGGAAGGGGCTCCCAGGCAACACCCCTCCTGCCAGGGCATCTGGTCCCAATCAGTCTCTCTGGAGGACAGAGCTGTCAAAGTACAACTGGGTAAAGACAGCGCCAACCACCAGACTGCAGGGTGGCACTGTGCCATGGAATGCCGGTCTGGGTCTCAGGGACCAGGTGCTCCCGTGGGGCCAGGGTAGTCACGCTGGTTCCTGATCGCCTGGGTATGCTGCTAGAAAATCAAAGACGGAATCATTTCATGGTGTTAGGAATCTGGAAAAATAAAAAATCATCTCAGCTAGAAAAGGAACGTCCCATTGGAGCCAGCCAGAGGATGAGAAGAGTGGGGAGGCGGTTTTGGTGCCATTGAGGCAGGTGGCCCGGTGACAGTGGTTGTGGGTGAGTGGCGGTGATACCAGGATCACTTGCTGTGGGTACAGTGTCCCCTCAGGGCTGGACCACAGGCTCCCATCCCGCTGTGGCCATGAGAGCCGTCCACTTCTTCCAAATCCTCTACACGAATTTTTCCTTAGTTTGTGCTTCCCTTTGGTTTGACACGTAAGGAGACAGGGGACATGGTTCTTTGTCACTTGTCCAAAACTGAGAACAGGTGAAGGCAGGTGTCAGGCTTGGCCTGCAGTGGCCCTTGTGGCGGTGCTCAGGGTATGGGGCCAGGCAGGCTGGGCACCGCCAGCGGCGGCTTCACTTCTGTGGTGGAGGGACAAGGGACAGAAGGCTGGAGATGGTGGCTGCCACGCCCCCACCCCACTTCTCTCCATTTGTGGCAATACGACAAGGAATGGATAGGCCTGACTGGCAGATGACACAGGAAAAACAGCAAAATTCTAACTCGTTCCATCTCTGAAGGTGGAAAAGATCAGACGGTTACTAAAATAATCAATTTCTCAATTGTGTCCGGGCGGCCGTATCCGAGCAGCGGAGGTGGAGGCTCACCCGGGGCAGGCACAGTCAGTCGGGCTGAGCCGGGGGAGGGGGGGCTCAGGATGGGCGGTGACCTTGTTCTCACAGGAGGCTGCACCGGAAGAAGCTGGTCCTCTTCTGCTGCTCTACCGTGATCTTGACCCCGTGGCTGCTCCCCTGTGGACTGTTCCCTTCCTGAAGTCACAAGTGTGCCTTGTTACTTATGTAAATTGTTAGCACCATCTACACCTGCATACAGCATCAGTCATCCGGTCCGTCTGCCTACCGCTGTCCAGCTAACCACTCTAGCATCATCCCCCCAGATCCATTCTCCACTATCCATCCAACTACTCCCTACTAACTGCTCAAGTGCCCACCCATCACCCTTCCCGCTCATCTACCTTCAATCTACCCGCACGAACTCCTGCGGCCATCACCCACCCTCTTCCAACCAACCATTCCACTATCCCAACAGCTCACTCACCTTTCACAAACCCACATCTTCATCTGCTTTCCATGATCTCCCAAGCCTTCACCCTTCCCTTCCCCTCCCCCAACAGATACCTCCCTCCACACTTGTTTGTCCCTTGTCCCCTCTGGGCATTGAGATGAGGACCTAATGGACACTGGTCAAGTGTTCTGCGGCTAAGCCACATCCCCAGTGGCACAAACCATCTTGTCTGCTCGGCTCTTCCTTTGTCCCCGCTGCTTCCGTCTACCCATTCTTCTATGCTAAACATCCCTACGTCTATCACGGAGGCAGCCAAGAGTCAGAGAGACAATGTCCCTTAGGGCTTAGAGCTTTCTGACCCTGTGCCCCAGGGGTGCCCAGGTCCAGGGGCTGCCAGAAACATAGAACCTAAACTCTAACCTTTCTCTTATAAAGAAAACTTTTAAAAATTACACTTATTTATTTGTGCGTGCATGTGTGTGTGCGTGTTCTTGCGTACACACGTGTGCACATGCAGTTAGGAGAATAACTTGTGGGAGTGAGTTCTCTCTTTCCACAGTGTGGGTTCTGGGTATCTACCTCAGTTATCTTGCCCACCCAGGACTCCAATTCTGATCATGTTATGCTGACACAAAAGCAAACATACAAATACACAAACAAGTACACAACCAAAGCTGTAGGGGCTGCATGCTGCACCTATCTGGTATACTGGTTTACAGGAAATGCTGCTGTTTGGATGGAAGCATTGAGGAGATGCTGCGGACACCTTGGGCCTCACTGGCTGAATTCATACAGCTCAGGATGAATGCTCAGAGACTTGTAGGGCAGGCTGTACTTCACACGAGCTGTGAGTGATCAGACTTTAAAGAGCCTTGGAACGAGTGCTCTCTGCCCTCTAACCACACAGGTGGTCTGGGGAAGGGAAGGGGCTGGAACCGAGGCTCAGGAAGCAGGGTCCCATGTGTGCCCCATGTTCCCAGGCTTTAGTGGCACACTCAAGCTCAGTCTGGAGAGCCCTGCTCTCTTTGCTCGGCAGTGGCCTGCTAGGCTTTAAAGGGTTGGGATGACAGCTCAGTGAGAGTTTGAGCTCCAGCACCCACATAAAAAGCCAGGTGTGGGGGCTGGGGCTACAGCCCAGCAGTTAAGAGCATCGGCTGCTTTGGCAGAGGAACTGGGTTTGATTCCTAGCACCCATGATGTACAGCTCCAGGGCATCCTATGCCTCTAGACTCCCAGGTACCAGCACACATGTGCACATTCTCTCCCCTCATCCCTAAGAATAAGATGTGAGGCATTCAGGTGCACGGTTTTAGCTCCAGTACTCGGGAGGAGAGACAGACGGCTGTCTATGTGGGATAGCCTGGTCTACATGGGAAGTCCCAGGCTAGCCAGAGCTACATAATGAGACCTTGCCTTAACAAACAAACAAACAAACAGACAGACAGGTATTGGAGAGGTGGCTGAATTTAGAACGCTGGCTGCTCTTTCAGAGGACCTGAGTTCAATTCCCAGCATCTACACTGCAGCTCATAACTGCCTATAACTTCAGATCCAGTTGAGCTCACGCCCTCTGGTCTCTGCGGGCACTATGCATGCACATGGTGTACAGACATTCATGCAGGCAAAATATCAAACACATTAAAATCAACAAACAATGAAATCATAAAACAGCAACAAAACAAGTCACGAAGGTGGTGCTTTATAGTCCCAGTGTTCCAGCGGGGAGACAGGAAGGTCCTGAGGCAACTGTCCAGAGTCCTAGCCTAAGCAATCGGCTCAGGTTCAGTGAGACCTTGCCTCAAAATCTAAGGTAGGAATCGAAGGAAGATACCTGATAACCCGATAATCACTGATAATCATTGACTTCTGGCTGACATTTACACACATATACACACACACAGTAGAACAGTAGGCTCGGGAAGTGATGTGCCTCCCTGATCAAGGACGCCTGCATCCTACAGATCCCCACGTGGAGACCTAGGAAGAACCCAGACTCACCAATTTTTTGTCCATTTTTGCTTTGATATCCCTGGCGAGAGTGAAAAATGCCTGTGGAAAGAGTAGGTGGTCAGAGCCCTCTAGTGGTGGAATGTGGCTGGCAGGCAGCAAGGGAGGGACTCCAGCTAGCACTTCCTCCTGTTCCCAATTAAGCGCCCCCATCTGTCACCCTCTGTAGAGCACCTTGGGGACAGAGGCCTGCTGTGCGGGCACCTCCCCTAGACCAGCAATCCTGTGAGTGTGAGGAGACACCATGTGATTGGTCCAAAGGTCCGAAGTGGTTCAGAAGGGTCTGGAAGGTATCTATCCCTGGCTGTGTCTGCGCATGCCAACCCCCTATCCTTTTATTTTAGAGAGATTTTTCTCATAGCACAGGTTGGCCTCAAACTCCTGTTTCTCCTGCCTCCACCTAAAAAGTACAGGGCTGACATGTGTCACCACCAAGCCTGGCCTCTCCTGTCTTGAAAAATACCCACAAATGCCAGCCTGTTTGCCCACTGCCCACGGAGAGAACATGCAGAGGGAGGTTGGATTTAGCATCTCTGTGCAGTGTTGGCGACTTGGGAAGCGGTGCCAGGGGAAAGGGCATTAAGCTGTTGCCCTTGGGTGGTGGGCCTGGACAGGGAAGGAAGCATCTGATGGCACGAAAAGGGAAGAGATACAGCAAAGGCTGGGGAGGCTGGGCCCGCCCAGGTGGCTTATGGGAGGAGTGGGGGTGAAGGCCAGTGAGGGGGGCAAGGGTCTTGGTCACTATCTTCCAGGTACCGTGTGGGGTGATGTGGACGATTTAGTTTTTTGTTTATTTTCTGAAGCAGTCTTGCTGTGTAGCCCAGGCTGGCCCCAGCAATCCTTCTATCTCAGACTCCTGAGCTCTGCAGGTCTGTTTTTGAGTGTCATTAGGTGTATGAGGGAGAGGCTGCAGGCCAGGTGCCAAGCTGGCACTGCCTTGGAGACAGCATGAGGATAAAGTCACAGAACTGGGGCTGTGAATTCGCAGTGTGGCTGAGATGAAGGCGACCGAGCTATCTCCTGGGTTGGCTCCAGTGTACCCTGAATGTCCAGCAGAGGGCACTGCAGAGGTCCCATCAGCAACGCTGGACTGGGGCCCCTGAGCCAGAGGCCAGTTCCTGGGATCCTCCAGGCTGAATCTCCCAAAGAAAGGCCTCTAAGGCCCCAGCACTGACCCCATAAGCCCCACAAGCCCGTGTCTCCCTGGAGCTGGGGACTCACATTCTCCACATTGATGTTGGCCTTCGCACTGGTCTCCATGAACTTGATCCCATAGTCGAGTGCCAGCTGTAACGGGTACACGAACACAGTCAACTCTCAGTGTTTCCTAAGGAATGGAAGCTGGGGTGGGGCTGGCACAAAGCTCAAGTAGTGACAGGCCAGGACAGGCTAAGGGTGTCACCTTCATTGTGTGATGGTACTGCACCAAGCAGGAGAGAGCAGAGGAGAGGAGGCCTTGCTGTGCCTGGCCTTGGTGGATTCTGGTAATATGATTGAGTTCACTGCCAAGTTCTTGCTGCTAGCCACAGGCACCCTGTCCTCTAGCCCTGTCTGGGGGGTTACCACCTCATAAGGCTCTCTTCTCCATCCCAAGCAAGCCAGGATGGCAATGCTATCCTATGCTCAACAGACTATGAAGGGGCACATGGGTCCCCTGGGGTGGAACTGGCTCTGGCACCCACCTTTTCTCCCCGCTCCTTGGACACCTGTCTCTTGTCGTTCACGTCACACTTATTCCCCAGTATCATCTTCTCCACATCTGCAGAGGCATGCTGAGGAGAACAGGGTGAACAGGGTCAAAGTGGCAGGGTGGGGATTACTCAGGGCTGACAGCCATGCACCCAGTTGTTGAATCCTTCTTGACTATAAATGGCTTCTGTAGGTCACGGTCATCACGTTCCAGGGCCAGGGATCCCAGAACGGACACTGAGAGACCTTAGCCACATGCTGCTGCTGTTCTGTGTTGGTCTGTGTGTGCATTCCATGCACAGACCATGGGGAGGACTACTTGTCTCCTTCCACTCTGTGGGCTCTGGGACTTGAACTCAAGATGTTAGGGTTGCTGGCAAGTGCCTTTACCCATTGAGCAACTTGCCAGCTAATGCCCCAATGCCTGCTTGGACCTTTTTACTCTCTCCTCTCTCTGGGGTCTAGAAACAAGGCTGTGTCTAGTAGAGCCAAAACTTCAGGTTAAGTTCTTGACGAGCACCCAGGCTTGGCCCAACTCTGACATCTCCTAGAAATGGCTCTGCTGTAGTTCCCTCCAGCGGCTCCTCTGAAGAAGGAACACCAGAAAGCAGTTCTGCTATGAGGGAAACACTTCTCCACTCGGCCACACCTCCTGCCTGCCAGAGGACCGCGCAGGGTGTCCCAAGCCAAATTAAGGATGAGTCCTCTTTTGACCAAAGCAACTGCTTATAAACAAAGGGCCTGCCTCTCAGCCTGGCCTGGGTGTCCACCAGCCCTGGGTCCACAGTATATGTGTTCCTTTGTGGCTTTATAGATGGGTGAAGTTCTTGACATCCTAGACCCAATGCTCCACCTGCTTAGTCATCAGGGCCACAGGTGGAGCTGGCCAGGAAGGTATGGGGTGTGGCAGCACCTGGGCACTGATCAGAGGACAAAGTCAGCTGCAGGAGGGGAGGCTGGGCTGGCTGCCTCCTTGTCCCTTCACAGTTCAGAAACTTTCTTTGACTAGCTGTTGACCTGAGTATGGGCTGAGACAGGCTCACACTCTGTTGTGGCTATAGCTCAAAATGTTTGCAACATACTGTCCAAATACAAGTCTCGGCTGCTCTACAATCTTCTCTCGCTATAAAAACTCAAATGCTCATGTGACCCTAAGCAGAGATGATTGCAGGATCAGTCAAACACTACTGTGTGGGTCCTGGGCCAATGGAGATTTTGGGCAGATGGCAGGCATCTTGTTCCCACGCCCCACTCTCTGCCTGTCCCCTATGTTCCTGGCTCTGAGGTATAGTCTCAGGAGAGGAAACAAAAAGGGGCCCTCACCTCTTCAATGTTCCGAATCCAATTCCGGATGTTGTCGAAGGACTTCTCGTTGGTAATGTCATAGACCAGCATGATACCCTGGGTGGGAAAAGAGAGACATGGGTAAGCCGGGCTGTGGTGGTGCATGCCTTTAATCCCAGCACTCGGGAGGCAGAGGCAGGAGGATCTCTGTGAGTTCGAGGCCAAACTGGTCTACAAGAGCTAGTTCCAAAGCGATACAGAGAAACCCCGTCTCAAAAAACAAAAAACAAAACAAAACAAAACAAAAAGACATGGGCTTTGAGGGGTCCCACAGAGTGGGTGTGGCCACTGCCAGAGAGAATCACTGTCTCAAGGTAGCCTGTCAGCTTCCCCATCTCCATGGTGACCTTTCTGACTCCCAAACCAGACCTTGCCACACCCTACACCCTCTTTCCGAGCCTTGCTGGCTCCCTATGCTAGCACCTGTACTCCCCAAGTCCTCCAGACTCAGTGATGCCTCTTCAGGATACCCAACACATATCTACTATGTGCCAGGCTTCCAGAAGGAAGGACCCGAGGCTGGATGTACACTTGGACCCTGACCTTGGAAGGGTCCGCACTCCAGGATGAGTGGTCTAGTCAGATCCCTAATGAATGTGAGGGGACACCTGACAAGGTCCACAGGTCCCAAGAGATCCAAAAAGTGGCCTCAGGCAGCCTGAGCAAATTGCATCACTGCTATTGTAGCGGAGAAACCAAGGCATAGGGAGATGAGATCTTTCTGATTAAGACTGAAGTCCAGGATACCTGAGTGCTGGTTCATGCATGAAATCCTAGCACTCAGGGAGACTGAGGCAGTTTGAGACCTGCAAGTTTGAGACCAGCCTGGGCCAAATAGCAACATTCTCAACTCCCCCCCACCCCCGGAGCCCCAGAAGATGCTGAGACAGACAGCAGTCGCCCTCTGATAGCCCCGTAATGTCCTGGGTTTATGTGGTGCCTACAATGGCCCACAACTTGGCTCCAGTCCAGGTCCTGCTTCTCCTCTCCCTCAGGCTACTGGCACAGTCCTATGTAGAATACAGCACCCTGTCTCTAAGGCCACCCACACTGGCCAAGGAAGAGGAACAACCAGCAAGGGAATAACACAATGGCAGGCATGTGTGAGGGCCTGGGTCGCATTCACAGCACTGAAATGAGAATAAATACACAGTAACTTGAGCTGCCATGGCCTGTAATTTCAGCACTCAGGAAGCTGAAGCAGAGGCTTACCCCAAGTCTGAGGTACAGGGGCGGTGCCAAGGGAAAAGCTGGCTCAGGTATGGTGGTACACGTCTTTCATACCAATACTCAGGAGCAGGGAGGGTCAGGTGGATCTCTGTGAGTTTAAAACCAAGCTAGTCTACATAGTGAGTTCCAGACCAGCCAGGCTGCATAGTAACACCCTGCCTCAAAGCAACAACAAAAAAAATTGGGCTTGGACTGTAGCTCAGTAGGGAGAACATGCATGAAGTCCTGGGTTCTACCATGGCACTTTTGTGAACCAGACATGGTGGCAAAGGCCTGTTTATTCCAGCACTCAGGAGGCTGAGGCAGAAGTATCAGAAGTTCCAGGCCAGCCTAAGTTACACAGCAAGAATGTGCTTCAGCACTGAAGGAGACCACTACTATCTTGGTGCTGGTGCAGGCCCAGTCCTCGGGGACTGTTGAGTCTTGGCTGCTGAGCAGGGCTCATGTCCACACCGTACTCAGGGCACAGTCATGATCCAAGGAGATACCTGGCTAAGGCCAAAGGTGCTAGGTGCGGGTAACGGGGGCAGGGAGAGGCTCAGTGTGACTATCTCAGCCCAGAGAGGTCCAGAGGGCAGAGGTATCCCCAGACCCCAGTGCCCTTGAGAGGCAAAACAGGATTAATTTTAATGAGGGTACTAAGGTTGCAGGCCATAGGATTGAGTTTCCAATGTTGGCCACACTTCTTGGATGCTCTAAATACTTAATTTAACGCTGCCATTCATGTCTTTTGTTCCCAGGCTCCTCAGGTGTCCCTGTGAGTTCTCAAGCCGCCCTCACAGTGTGGACAGCCTGCTGGGAGGAACCGGGGTCTATGGCCCTGAATGACGGATGAGCTACAGAAGGGACAGGGTGATAGGGAGAATGGGACTCTGGGCAGATGGTCATTTGTTTTCACGGCAGCCTGAGGCATGTTCCACTTTCTCAGAGGAGACAGCTGGGAGTGTGATCCAGAGTTCTGGGCAGGATTGGGGGAGCTCCTCCTGCCCACCTTGTCCCTTGATACCCTGTTTTGCATAGTCTCACACAAGCAGGACCTGGTTAGGGTGGACTCCATCCTTTCTCGCTGTCCCCTCATCTTCATGAGGGAAATACGTGGGGTGAGTTTGCTGACATGTCATCTGGCTGCAGGCCCAGGCAGAAGATGGAACAATGATAATCCCAAGTAAATCCAGCCTTCAAGTTGTTCTAGCAAATCCCAGAGATGCTGACGTGGCCCATGTGGCCCTTCTCAGTACTGGGGGATCAGTCCAGGGTTTGTCCTCCATGTAAGGGTGGGCTTCCTCGTACTCTTCTCAGCCCTCTAAAAGGACACTCTCACCATTTACTGCCCTGGGTCTGAGGCCTGGGAGAGTGTGCTGTATGTGCAGATGGAGCAGGGCGCGCTGACCTCTTTAGAGCCAGTTTGGGTGCTGGGCTACCTGAGGAGTTGAACACAGGCTCCACAAGACTTAAGTCTTGGCAGGTGTGGTGACATACACCTATGATATCCCAGCCTAGGGAGGCTAAGGCAGGAAAATTCTGAGTTCCTGAACCTTCTCTAAAAACCAAACCAAAAATGGGGGCTGAGATACGCTGGAGTCCATAAAGTGCCTACCACATAAGCCTGAGTTTGATCCCTGCACTGAGGGGGCAGAGCCAGGCTAACCCCTGGAGCTCATCGCCAGCTAGCCTGGTCTACCAAGTTCCAAAGCAGAAGCAATGCTGGAAGATGACCTACCTGATCTCTAGTCTCCACACTCACACACACATACGCACGTGCAACCACATGAACACACATATACATGTGCGCACCAAGTTTTAGAGTACATAGAACAAGCTGGGTGCACTTGGGAATTTAAGGCAGGAGGATTTTGAGTCTCAGGCCATCCCAGCCTACGAAGTGAGTTCTAGGCCAGCTTGGGCTACATCTGGGACTGTTTCAACAAGACGAAACAGAACAAAACACAGGCTTTCGTACTAAGAACTGCTGATGCTTGTTTCCACATCACAACAACAGAAACAATAACAAAGTCGGTACCATGGCGCCTCTGTAGTAGGCTGTCGTGATTGTCCTAAACCGCTCCTGGCCAGCTGTGTCCCTGGAAAGGAGGATGAAGAATATTAACGACATGTATAGCCAGCTGGATCTCTCTCCCTTGAGGCCCTCCTGCTCAGGAAGCAGGGCTATCCCCATGACGACACGAAGGGAACTGTGGAGTGACAAGCTGAGGCCTTTCCAAATTCCCTTCCATGCCTTAGCTTCTAGGTATTGTCGTGGGGACCAAGTTGGTGCTGCGGCTCACTCTGTCAGCACCTTTGCAAAGGAGGCGGTGTCCAGGGAGGTGGTGCCTGAGTTGGTGTGATCAAGCCTGAACCAGTACTGTGCACATGGGGTATGTCACGTGTGGTTTACAAACAGGTGTCAGATACATACCTGCCTGTTATCCCAGCAATAGGGAGGCCTAGGCAGGAGGATTATGAGTTCCAGGCCAGTCTGGGATATACTGTGAGACAGCGTTACAGAATAAAAAAGGGACGGTGTGCCGGGCGGTGGTGGCGCATGCCTTTAATCCCAGCACTCGGGAGGCAGAGGCAGGCGGATCTCTGTGAGTTCGAGACCAGCCTGGTCTACAGAACTAGTTCCAGGACAGGTTCCAAAGCCACAGAGAAACCCTGTCTCGAAAAACCAAAAAAAAAAAAAGGGACGGTGTGCCTGGTAGTACAGTGTTTGCCTAATCCATACAAGGTCTTAGGTTCATCTCCAGGACTGCAAGGACATGTCTTTCGTCCCTGAGCCCATGGTTCCTCCCAAGAGCTCTGGACATCTGAATTACACAAAAAGGTCTAATGCTAAGTCCGAGTTCTACCTCTTGCCTTTAGTGTTTTCTTGTTTGTGAGTGCACAGCACGTGTGGAGTAACTTGCAGGAGCTGGTTTTCTCCTTCTACAATGTGAGTCCTGGGGATCAAACTCAGGTCATCAGGCTTGGCAGAAAGCACCTTTACCTGCTGAGCCATCTTGCTGGCCCCTTGGCTTTGAATCTTACTTTATGGTGGCACAGGGATGGAAGTAAGTGTCCCGTGTGTGCTAAGGCAAGAGCCCGAAAGCTCTCTCATTTTACTGTGATTTTAGTTGAGATGACCTGCAGGGGCCATGCACGGTGATGTCAACCGCAGCCCAGGCCAGCTTCCCAGTATCTTCCCTGGTGAGAATGCCGAGGGCAGTGGAAAGAGAGGAGCCAGGGCAGGTGGCCTGGCTTGCTGAGACTGTGTCACTTTGGACTTAGGCACAAAGGCTGCCACATGGTCACCCCGTTGGAAGTGGAGAACTTCTATGGGTCCACTTACCATGTGGCCAGGACTGATGACTAAGCCCTGAGGACAGACAAGGACTCTCTCATCCAGGTTCAAAGTCTGAAGTCAGACTTGGGGTGATGACTAGTAGGAGTCAAGGGCACCCAGGAGGTTCCCCCATGGATACTGGCAAGCCGGGTAATGGTTCATGCTGAGATTAAGGGGAACTGACCACAACATGGGGGAAGGGTGCCTGGCTGGTGAATGCTTGACCACACCCCTTCTGTTTGGTTCTGACACAGGTTCTCACGGTGTAGTCCAAACTGTCCTAGAACTTGCTGCAACCCTCCTGCCTGCCCCCTGAGGGCTGGGATGACATCGCCCATGGAGCACATTTTTTCAAGTGATTTGGGTCTATTTGCCCAAGGCCAACTGGATTCAGCCTCCCAGGATGCTGGGCTACCCCCAAGTCCACACCAATGATGGAGATCTAGATGCTCACACTTCCCTGACTGACTCTGGCAGTGGAGCCCCTGCTCAGGGCTGAGGAGTGTGAACACTCATGGACTCTGGAGCTGACCTTCTCTTCAAGGTTGTTTGTGGGTTTCAGGTCCACACACCAGGAAGTGAGGTGAGGCCTGGGCTCTCTTCTCAGGGGAAAAAAACAGGAAGTGGTATGAGGCCTTTAAAATTTGGGGTGAGGCTGTGGGCTCGGAAGGAAACCCCCAGGTAGGTGCGGTGGCACACACTTGTCATTCCAGGCCCTGGGAACCTAAGGCTAAAGACTGTAAGTTCCAGGCCAGCTTGAGCTACAAGGTGGGGCTCTGCTGTAACAAAAGAGAAAGAGGAAATTTGTAGCCCAGGCATCTTATGCCTACTCTCCAAGATCACAGGAGGGCAGAGCCACCAGACTGAGCTGGTGACAGGAGCCATGGCTTCCAGCTATCTGCGGAGCACTGGGTCTTCAGGATCCCCTCCAGCCAGCCCCACACCTGAACACTTGTGGACGTATTCCCTGTCTCTCCTGTACAGAGGGCTCCCTTCAGCTTCACTGAATACTTGTAGAAGTATTCCCTGTCTCTCCTGTACAGAGGGCTCCCTTCAGGTTCACTAAACCTCACTGGACAGATAGCTCTTCACCCACAGGCTCCAGTGGCCAGCAGAGTATAGCTGCCTGGGCTGGGTATGAAACTCTGGAAGCTTCTGAGGTAAAGGACTGTGTGCCAGGGTCTGCCGCCAAAGAATTTTGCCCAGCTGGTAGAGTTTCTGCCTAGCATGCACGGGGCTCTGGGTTCATTCCCATCAGTGCAAAAACGCATGCATACATGTGCTGTGACATACACCTGTCACCTCAACACTTAGGAAGGGGATGCAGGAAAATCAGGAATTCAAAGTCATCTTTGGAGCTGGATGTGATTATACCCCTTTAGTTCCAGCACTTGGGTGACAGAGGCTGCACAGAGAGACTTTGTCTCAAAAAAAAAAAAATCCCAAAAAACAAAAACAAACAAAAATCCCCAAAACCAAAGGCTAGAGTGTGTGGGGAAGGGAAGCTAATGGCTATGCTCCAGGTATGGAGCCCCATGGAGCCCAAGCTGTGGTGCACAAGGCAACAGCACTCACCATATCTGCAGTTTAATCCTCTTGCCATCAAGCTCTATGGTCCTAATTTTAAAGTCAATGCCTGAAAGAAAAACAATAAAAGGTGTTACTAAGGTCAGGCCACTTCCCAGTTGCCCGCCTAGGCTGGTGACAGAGGTTGTGGCTTATGGAGCAGCAGCTGGTACTGGGTCCTCAGGAGCTCAGGGCTCTCTCTACCCATCAAGACTGGAAGCTTCTGGAAGTATCCTTCCCTGCTTGGAGCAGAGCCTGAGGCTATAGAGGCTAAGGGAGCTGGGAGGAAGCCGATAGCTGGTGGGAGGGGGGCAGGCCCATCTCACGCTGGCGCTGCCTTCCTGCATCGTGGTTGGGCCTCACAATGGGCATCCTAAAGCCTTCTACAGACCAGTCACACCAAAGCATCAAGCAGCGGATATACCACCCCACAGTGCACTGCACACACAGGCCACATCCTCCCTCCCTAGCCACTACACAGGTTCACATACCTACTTTTTGTTATATTTTTGAGACAGAATTTCATGTAGCTCAGGTTGGCCTTAACCTCCTGATTTTTCTGCCTCCACTTCCTAAGAGTTGGGATTATAGATATGTGTCTCCAAATCTGGTATATACAGATACAGGTTTTCTTCTGTACAGATAGACTACCAGCTACCTGTCAAAGCCCTGCACCAATGTCACCTCCTAAGACCCCTTTGTGATGGTGGCTAACTCTCTACCTCTGTATTCCCCTCTGCTGAGAGTGACTTGGAAGCTCTTTGGTGCCCACTATTACTTCTCTGCCGCTTCCAGGCTTAAAAAATACAAGGTTTGGTCTTCAGATGTAGCTCAGGTGTAGAGCTATTGCATAGCATCTACAACAAGGCCTGGAGTTCCATCGAGAGCCGCAGGGTAGAGGGCAATATGGTGAATTGTGCCAGGCACACCAATACCCAGGAGGTGGAGGCAGGAAGATCAGGAGTTCATGATTACCTTTGCCTACATACTGAGTCGGAGGTCATCCTCAAGATCAACAAAAAACCAAAACAACCCTAAGTCTAAGTATATACTGAAGCTGGTCTCGACCCCAGAGCTTCCAGTGGGCCCAGCAGCAGGCAGGATGCCCAGCAACAAACCATCTCTGTGGTGGTCTATTACTCTGTCATTGAGCTGAATGAAGGACTCACGTGACAGATAACTGTAGAGCAGCCTCAAAAACACAATGCTATGTGAGAGAAGCCGGATAGGAAGGACACATACGGGAGTGGCTAGGTTGACAGAGCATGCACATCTGGAGATGAAGACTGTGCCTGAGGTTGCCAGGCCAGGGGGCATGAGGGTGTTGGTGTTTCTTTTTGGCACAAGAAGAAATTCTGAAATTTATATGGTAATGGATGTCCAACTCAAAGCATACCAAAAGGTGCTACTGTAAATTGGTGGATCAATCAGATGTAGTTATAATAAAGTTTTTTTTTTTTTTTTGGACTGGCAAGACGGCTCAGCATATATACAGACTTGCTCAACAAGTCTGCTGTTGCTGCTGTCAAGCTTCACAACTGGGTTTAATTTCTGGAACCCGCACATCACTGGCCCCCATAGGCTCACATATTCGAGAGCTTAGTCACCAGAGAGTGAAACCATTTGAATGGATTAGAAGGATTAGGAGGTGTGGCCTTGGAGGTGTGTCACTGGAGTTGGGCTTTAAGCCTTTAAAAGCCCAATCATGGTTGGAGAGATGGTTCAGTGGTTAAGAGCACTGACTGCTCTTCCAGAGGATCCAGGTTCAATTCCCAGCACACACATGGCAGCTCACAACTGTCTATAATTCCAGTCCCAGGGACCCGACATCCATTCACACAAAAAAAATTAAAAGCCCAGTCTCGCTCTCTTGGCCTGTGGATCAGGATGCAGCTCTCAGCTACTGCTGCGGTGCCACACATGCCGCCATGCTTCTTGCCATGATAACAGACTGAGCCTCTAAAACTGTACACCAGTCCCAGTTCGGCCATGCCGTCTCCTTACAGCAATACAACAATGACCATGACAGCGGCCCTCTGTGCAGCCATGCTGGTCCTCTGGCAGCACCTTACACATCCTAAGTATTCTAGAGGCTCTTCTCTCTTCTGGAATGTTCTTTGCTTCCATAGTCACCAGTGCCCCTCTTGCTCAAGTTGTTCAAAATGGCTTTGTGGGGACCTTCCACCATTACCACACCAACACTAGACATACTATAAACACCCATTCCATGGCATGCAAGAGCTGGCTAAGGACCCTCTACCTACAGCAAAGCCTGATGGTATTCAAATCCTCCTCATGCTATGCCATGTTGTTTTACACAGGAACTCTGACCATACTCCACAGGTTCTCTTTAATACATAGTTCTGGGGGGTGAGGACACCCTTCAGGAGCAGCTCTCTCCTCCCACTGTGTGGGTACCTGGAACTGAACTCAAGTGGTCAGGCCTGGCTGCAAGGGTCTTTACCTGCTGAACCATCTCACTGGCCTACATTTCCTTTTAGACATGAACTTTCCTGGAGATACACACAGGCCTCAAGTCTAACAATAGACCAAATTCCACCCAAGCCCAGCTGGGTGAACAAAAGCAGTTAAGAGGGTCACTGAAAGCTGCATGACAGACCTCCATCGCTACATGAATAGAATCCACGTTTAGCCTTACACACTATGTACTCCAGCACTCATTGAGACTTCGTGTAGCAGGGACACAACTACTGAGCGCTGGGAGGAGGTGCAGGCAGGAGCAGCAGACAGCGTAGGCTTTGCCAACACTGAGCCTCCCTAGCCCACCTTCAGGGAAGGCTAACAGTCGAGTTATCAGGGCTCTAAGATGGGTAGCCAGGTGTGAATCTGAGACTAGCCTGGGCTACAAAGAGAGACTCTGTCTGGGCAGGGGGTGGCTCTTACACTTAGAGGGTAGCACCACAGCAAACCTCGCAGCCCAGGCTGACTGGAAATTCAGTGATTCTCCTGCCTCAGCCTCCCTAGTGCTGAGAATACAAGCAGCATGCCTGGGTCCTGTGTAGATTTTCAGTTCTGTCTAGAGGAGACACAGACTACTCGCTGTTCAGGCTGGCAAAGGGCAGTGAGTAAAGATGCTTGCCAACAAGCTCAATGACTTGAGCTGGATCCCTAGAATCCAATGATGAAAGTAGAGAACCAACTCCTACAGGTTGTCTTACCCCCACACATGGGCCACAGCATACACATGTCTACACACACACACATACCCCAACCAAATTAATAAATGTTTTATATATATTGTTTTTTTTCGAGACATGGTTTCTCTGTAGCTTTGGGGCCCGAATAAATGTTATTTAAAATCTTTTTAAAATATGGGGGTGGGGCTGGGGCTATGGTCCAGCTGGCAGAAGGCTTGTCTAGTCTGCACACAGGACTCAGGTCCACCCTTAGCACCACATAAACCAGAGGTGGAGGTGCACACCTGTCACCCCAGCACTTGGAGGGAGGAGGAAAGAGGAATTCAAGGCCAGCCTTGGCTACAAACAATCTGAGGCTAAGGTAGGAGGAAAGATTAAGCCTAAAAGTCCTAGGCTAGCCTGGGCGTGCTCGCGCTCTCTCTCTCTCTCTCTCTCTCTCTCTCTCTCACACACACACACACACACACACACACGGGAGAGGCAGCTTAGTGAGTGTGTCTGACCCAGGATTTCACATGCTGGAAGAATAGAACTGATTCCTGCCAAGTTGTCCTCTGACCTCTACATATGCACTACGGCAGGAACGCCTCCACACAAGTAAATAAATGTGGTTAAAGTTTAAAAAAAAAATTTGGGGCTCACTTGGTAGACTGCTTACCTAGTATCCTGGATTCTACCCCTAGGACCTAAAAACTTGAGTGTACTTGTGTGTCCCAGCAATCCCAGAACTTGGAAGATGGAGGCAGGGGGATTAGGAGTTTAAGGTTATCCTCAGCTACATAAGGACTTCGAGGTCAGCCTGGGCTACATGAGGTCCCATCTCAAACAAAAGATGGTCAGATGGTAACACCCTACAGTGTCTGCTGAAACCAAATGAATGGGCCCGAGGAAGTGGCTGGGCTCTGAGCCTGGCTTGAGAACTGACTTCAGGGCGCTGAAGGACCAGGTTCACATTACAGATAATTCATGCAGCTCTGGAGAAGAATCTTCCACAGGGGCACAGCTTCCAGAAAACAAACAGCACTCAATCCTGGCCCATTAATGAACACAGCAAGAAGAGCTGGCTCAGTACAGATGCACCTTCCGGCATAATTTCAGGACTAAGTGGCCAGGGTAGACTCTCCCAGAGACATCCCCAAGGTGTCACACGTGTCCAGTGACACACGAAAGTCCAGGGTCACTGTGCAACCCTGACCATGAGGCCTGCTTTGGCCATGAGCTCTCCTAGTTTCTATTAACACAAGAATTGAATTTGGAACTGTAAACTTCATGAGGCTCCAGAATTAGGCTATAACTTCAAAGTCAAGGAGATTAATGTTCCTAGAAGATGGAAGCCTGTGGGAAAGTGATAATGATTTGGGGAGGAAGGGATCCTGGTTCAAGTGGTACCTCTACCTCACTGGCTGATGATCTTGACTGAGTTACACCCTCACTGGAAAGGGGCTGCCTCCCAGGGACCCTGAAGAACTAAGTTCAAGAGTTTTAAACCATCCAGATTGATGGTCAGTGGTCAGACGTGTGGTCAACCAATACGAGGCTCTGGGCTCCATATTCAGTACTTCAAAAAGAAAAACTGAACAAACAAGTGAGACATAAAGTACACCTTACCAGCCTGCAAAAAAGGCTCAGCAGGTAAAGGCACTTGCCACCAAGACTGAGGACTTGAGTTTAATTCCTGGGACCCACTAAGTGGAAGAAAAAACCTAACTCCCACAAGCTGTCTCTTGACTTGACATATGTGCACATACACTAAATAAATTTAACAAAACCAGTGGAGCAGGGTGGCTCACATCTGTAATTCCAGTGTTCGGGTGACATGGGCAGGCAGATTTCCATGAGTTCCAGACAGCATGGTCTACACAGTGAGCTCTAGGTCGGCCTGTCTCAAACAAACCAACCAAACAAGGGCTAGGGACATGGCTCAGTCCATAAAGTGCTTACCACATAAACATGAGGATGTGAGCTTGATCCCTAGCACCCTGTAAAAACACCTGGGTATGATGGCATTACATCATACATGGTAACAACCCTATTACTGGTGACACAGAGAGAAGGTCCTCACCACTTGGTGAGACCCAGCAAAGATGAGCTGGTGACAAGCCTGGCAACCTGAGCTCAGTCCCCAGGACCCACATGGTAGAAGGAAAGAACAGACCCGTAAGTTGTTCTCTGACCCCCAGATGGGCACCAGCACGCATGTACCCTCCCAATAATTAAAAAAAAAGCAAGGCCAGGTGAGTGAAAGCCAACCCCATTGTCAGCCTCCAGCTTCCTGCACTCACACTCATACATGTGCACATGCACGCGTGAGAAAGTGTGCACACACACCTGCTCTGTCTCTCTCTCATGCACGCGCACACACATGCACACACACACACACACAAATAAAGCAAACAAAACAACATCCTGAACCAATGCTGGTAGTGACGAGGAAGTGTCTGAGGCCGGGAAACTGAGATCTGTGTTGAGAGCAAGTCAGAGCTTGTGGGCAGCTACTGCATTTCCTACTTGGTCCTCACCTAAGGGTGACTCCAAAGCTGGATGTCTGTGTGGGGAGAGGAGAAGCTTCAGATGCACCCATGCTCAGGGGTGCCTAAACCCTCTGCGTCCTCCGGATGAACCTCTTCACTTGTACAGATCTAATTCTCAAAAACCCAGAGCACCAGCCAAGACAAACAGTGCCACATCTCCTCTAAACCAAGTCAGATCAGAGAGGGTTAAAGCTTGTTCAGGGATGAACAGCACCTGGAGTCCAGGTATGACACCCGATACAAGACTACCTTAGAGGGCCCACCAGGAAGGAGTGCTTCGAGGACATTAGCACACAGTGGTCTGGGGCAGGGAGACAATACAGCACAGTTGATGTCACATAGAAGTCATTCCCTAAAGTTTTCCTTTTCTTTCTGAGCCAGGGTCCCCTGTGCTCAAACTGGCCTTGACTGGTCTGTGTAACCAAGTATGACCTTGAACTCCTGACCCTGCTACCTCCACCTCCCTAGGGCTGTCCTGTACAGGTGTTCACCAGCACATCTGGTTTCAGGGTGCTGGGGATGGAACCCAGGGCTGCAACAACTGAACAACAGTTTGGCTTGGGATAAACCAGGCCTAGGGACCAACCTCTTGTTCCAGGGTCACAGAGCATGCAGATCACTGTGTCTGACAGGAGTTACTTTCAGGCCCAGCCTTCTCAAGTTGGGCCATGACTACTCATGGTAAGGAGCAAGGTCTGAGCCATTTTTGACGTCACGACTGGGGCTATCATAAGCCAATTCCGTTCAGCTGCACGGTGAGGCAGCCCTGGGGGAAAGCTGTTCAGAGTGGCAGGTGGCGTCCACGGCCTGAGATAGGGAAGTCAAGGCTGCACGTGGCTGGGGCTGATCTTAGTTTCCTACTGGAACTTTTCCCCCTCATAACCCCAACAGGATGACAGGTGCTACTTTGGGTTGGAGTCCTGATTCAAGGTGGATTGCCGGTGCTGGCCCTGTGAAGGTGTAAGACACCTCTCTGGGACAGCTAGGCCTTGGTTTTGGAGTCAGGCACACCTGGGTTCAAATCCCATCCCTGACACCTGTAGACTGTGCCCTTCAGTGCGTGCCACACCCTCCCTCAGTTTCAAATTCCTCCTCCAGCGACACAGCACCCAACAACGAGAGCACCACAGTGTTTGATACTGCACAGGCCGAGCCTGCCACATAGGAAGTAATGCACGGGCCAGGGGTCACCTCCATGCCTCAGTTTCCACTTTTATAAGACGGAGATCTCCCCCAAAGAACAGTCTCGAGGGCTGCTGTGAGGACACGGCGTTGACAGACGCCAGGACCCCAGCCCAGGACAGCAGCCTGCGTGTTCCCGTCTGCACCTCGCTCCCCGGCGCCCCGCCACCACCCGGGTTCTCTTCGGGGAGGTGAAGGCCGCTGCGGTTGTCCGTCAGGGCCCGCGACCCTCCCGGAGCCTCGGCCCAGGTGGATCCTGAATCGATCCCTCAGCCCAGCCCCACAGGGGCGCGCCCAGCCCGGACCCCGGCAGCCCCGAGGCCCCGCTACCTATGGTGGAGATGAACGTGGAGTTGAAGGCGTCCTCGGAGAAGCGGAACAGGACACAGGTCTTCCCCACCCCCGAGTCCCCGATCAGCAGCAGCTTGAACAGGTAATCGTAGGTCTTCGCCATATTACACTCTCTCCCCGACGGGAAGTACGGCCGGTGCCTCGCCACTGGTCGGTAAACCCGTCCATCATCGCAGATCCCGCCCCCTATTGGCCCTTGGCCCGCCGCGCGTCACCAAGGCCGACGCCCGCCCTCCTGAGCCCCGCCCGTCCCAGGGAGCCCAGGGGAAAGAGGCGAATCCGGCGCAGAGCCGGAAGCAGCCGGATCGCATAGCTCATTGGCTGACCCTTGGGATAGGGAGGCTTGTGATTGGCTAATGGTGGAGAGTTGGAGGGTGAGAGCCTCAAATGACCAGCGGTGGGTGTGGCTATCTCCTGGCCCCGCCTTCTCATCCCTCCCAACCCTTCGGGGGCCTCGCCCTGCCTCCGACGGCGGGGAGGGAGGACCCCAACAGTTCCGCGCGCTAGCTGCTGAGGGAGAGCTGGAGGCGGGCTTGGTGAGAATGCGCATGCGTACTGGGAAGACGGTTGGCTCCAGCAGAGGGCGCACGCGCGCGGAGGACGCCTCAGGTTTCCCGCCTTCACAGCCCGCGCAGTCGCAATAGGCGCTGAGGCGAAGCGCGGGAAGTCGCTGTATGGCTGTACTGATTCCTCCGTGGAGGTTTTCGGCAGAAGTAAAGTGGCGCTGGTTAGGGTGGGCTGCAGACTCGCTCCCCGGCCATGGCGTCCACCACTGGACACACTTAGGTACAGCCCAGGCTAACGCCGCGTGGGCGACGAGCCCGCCACCCAGCGAGGACCCAGCGCGGGCGGGGGTTGATAGCACCGGGACAATTCCACGTTCTATGCTAAGTGCATTGACGCTATAGGTGAAATGACTTTCCCAGGCTTCAGAGTGGCACTTTTTTTCTTCTGTTTTTCATATGTGCTTTAAAAAAAATTGTAGAGATGGCACTTGTCAAGCCTTATGATCTTAGTTCGATTTCTGGTACTCACGGAGTAGAGAGAACCAACTCGTGTAAGTTGCCCTCTGACCTCTACACATAGGTCCTGTGCCACCCTTCCTCTTCTCCCCAAAAGATAAAAATCTGTGGAAAGCATCACCAAGATTAACACTGAAGTTGGGGGCTGGAGAGATGACTCAATGGTTAAGAGCACTGGCTACTCTTCCAGAGGACCCACGTTCAATTCCCAGCACCCACATGGCAGCTCACAACTGCCTGAAGCTTCAGCTCCCTGGAAGCTGACACCTTTACACCAATGCACATAAAATAAAGTTAAAATAAATTATTTTTTTAAAAAAGAGTAACACTAGGAGCCAACAAGATGGCCCAGCGGGTCAAGATGCTCATTGCGAAGCCTGACAACATGAGTTTGATCCCTGAGAAGACACATGGTGGAAGAAGAGAACCAGTTCCTACAAGTTGTTCTCTTGCCTTCACAGGTAGACTGTGCTAACTAAACAAATGCATTAAAATATTACATGTATATTATGTGTATGAGGGCTGAGGAGATGGCTCAGTCGGTGAAACACTGGCTGAATCTTAGATCACAGAGCAGCTTAGGTCAAGCCTGTCTCCAAATGTGTCTCTCCTTACTCTCATAGCTGATTATGCATGTAGGCTCCAGGCTAATACCAAGTTATCTGATGATGCCTCCTCAGAGGAACACCATTAATTAAAATGGACCTCTTCCCACTTCCCCTACATCATGCCAGCTGGGAATCAGAGACAGCCCAGATGCAAGCTCTTCCTGTAGACTACTCAACCTCGTCGAATGGAACCACTCCCTCCCTATAAAACCTGGAGGTAAGGCCACCCTACTCCAGCATATTGACCTGAATCCTGAGTTCTACCATGATATCTGGCTGCCTGCCTATGGCCATAGGATCTGAACTCCTGCCCTGCTGGTATGTGTTAATAACTCTTCTAATAAATCTCTTTCCTGAAAGGATAAGCTGTCTCAGTATCCCCTGGCAGCTCAAATGAGATGAGGACTGAGTTTGCATCCCCAGAACCCACATAAGGTCAAATGGAAGGCAGGGAGGAGACTCTTGGAAACTCAAAGGTAAGCCTGGCAGCAGTGCACAAAAAAAAAAAAAAAACAAAAAAAGCCCTGTCTCAAGCAAGATGGAAGGCATGCACAACAATTGAGATTGTCCTTTGACCTTCACATACATGTGAGCACACACACCTCAACAGAATGACGAACAGAAAGCCAAGTGGCAGAGAACTGGAATTTCTTCTCGACCTGGACTCTCTGTAACAAACAGCATGTGCAGAAAAGGCCACCATATACATATCTGGGAGAGGCTGGTCATGAGTCTTTTGAGAGGATGCCTCTTTTCTGCTCACAAGTCTACTCTCATTCTCAAAAGCACTATCTCTTTCTTACTGTCTAATTTTACGTCCCTGGTGCAATCCTTTGTCCTGGTATATACATGAGCCTGGAAATCCAAGCAGGTGTGCCTGGGTTGCACCTATAAAAACAAGGAGGCCTTGTGCATGCCAGGCAAGTGCTTTGAAGTTGACCCATTCCCAGTCTAGAAACTGGTTTCTGAGCTCAGACCACCATGGATTAATGGCAAGAATTTGATCTGTGGGTTCCTGTTCCTCAGAGGTAGTCTACTTTTAGGTTACTGTGGAGCATTAGAAAGGCAGAGATTGACCTAAGGACATGCAGGAAGCTGGCCTCTGCCTCTTCTCCCTTTTCATTGAGCTTACTGTAGTCATCCGCCTCTGCTTGGGAAGTTTCTATTAGAACTGATGCCCACTCTCTAGGCCTCAGCCTCTGTGATAGTTGCTTCTCTTGACTACCTCCGCAAATTCTTTTTTCTTGGTACTCTCTTACGTTAGCTGCCTCTCTCTTCTCCATCTCCCCTTCACTAAGTACTGCAGATGTCTGTAGATTCCTGTTTGTGTTTCAATATTGGTGTTCTGCAAGATTCTTTCCATCTGACTGTCATTTTCTGGATGATTTTTCCTGTAGCTTCTAATATTTCCATAGTGATAATTCTGAATACCTCATCCAGGGACCAGTGAGATAACTTTGTGAAACACCAAACTTGACAACTTGAATTAGAGTTTTAAGATCTGTGTGGTGGGGGTTCAAGGTGGCCAATATGGAAGGGAAGCAGGGTGGGGTGCCTGTAAGCTGTGAAACTGAAGCCTTGATGTTCTGGATCAAGAGTGTTGGGCCAAAGCTGGACTAACGATTTGAAGCAGAAGATGCATACAGATATGATTTCCTCCAGTCTATGTGGTTCTACTGCGAGTCTCTCCGTATATCTTAAAGCATATGCAGATTGGAAGTCACAAGTGGATGCCTGACATGAAGGACCTAGTGACAGTTTCGCCTGCCTGTAGATGACATGGCATAGAAAGGTGTAAGAATGATTCAACAGACATAAACATTCTTCTGTTAAGAACAAGTTGGGTGGCTCAGAGGTTAAGAGCATTGCCTGCTCTTCCAAAGGTCCTGCCAGAGTTCAATTCCCAGCTCACAACTTATCTGTAATGAAGTCTGGTGCCCTCTTCTGGCCTTCAGGCATACTCGCAGACAGAATATTGTATACATAATAAATAAATAAATAAATAAATAAATAAAAAGTTGGGCTGTGGGAACTGACAATAACAGCTGAAATATAGAACCATTTGGGAAATGCAAAAAGATATCTTGCATTGATAGTCCATCCTTAGCCCTGTGGTGTCTCCTTCTGTGAGTTGATGGACTTGTAAGTAGTATCAGACTATAAGATGATTGTGTCTGCAATGATACTGTCTTGGCAGTCATTTCTGTTTACATCTCTACTTCTGTGCAGAGTGTGTTAATGAAGAGTCTGATGGAATTCTTCATGTACTCACAATGACATTTAAGCACAGAACCATCATTTTATATTTTTAGTAAACAAACTGATGGAAAAATTCAAGCAGTGGAAGAGGAGACTCAATTCCTGCAAGTTGTCTTCTGACATCTATAAACATGCTATGGCATGCAGCACGTCCCCAGACCCATACACACACATAATACATGAGTAAATAGTGTTAAAAAAATAAATTACTCATCCATTGCCCAGGTTTAATTGCTTTCTGGTCATTATCCAGACTAGCTTGTTCTAAATTACCTTGTGGTTGAAACTGAAATAAATTTTGAAACTTTCAGAAGTCTCATATCCTGGTTCTTTGTGTATTTCTATCTTAGTGTGTATGACTGTGCATGTAGGCAAGAGGTTGACTTTGTCAGCTGTCTTCCTCAATCACTCTCCACCATATTGAGACAGGATCTCACTGAACCTAAAGCTTGCCAATTTGACTAAACTTCCTAGCCAGAGAGCCTTGTCTCCATCTCCCCAGTGACGGGGTTAGAGCTGCAGACCAGCATGCCTGGCTTTTGCACACGAGTGCTAAAGACTAAACTCAGGTTCTCATGCTTACTCAACAAGCACATTACTGACCGAGTCATCTCCCTAGCCCACACTCTTAGAGGTTCTTAGAGGTTCAAATCCATTCCCATTACTATAGTCACATTATCATACCCTTCCCTGCCCACGTTAGAATGCACCCTGTGTGCTCATTCTTAATGGTCACCCAATCCATCCGTTCCTTTGTCCACACCTCACAATCTGGTCCTAACCTCACTTTCTTCTATCCATAATTCAGAGGATTGGGGACCCCTCAAGACTGGGACAAGTCAGCAAACACCAGACCCTTTTTGTTGTTATTTTAGCCTTCTCAGTGTCTGTCAAAACTTGCCAAACCTAAGTATATTCTAAATCATCACCAGAGAGAGAAAAAAAGTTTCGATTACAGTCACACATCACTAGCTCCAATTCTCCCATTGTGGTGGTAAGCAAAGCCTCAAGTGCTGAGGCACAAAAGTGACTTAAACCATCCTGAGTTTAGTTAGAAATCAACTGAGTGGGATGAGGAAGGATCAAAGACCACATGGAGTAAGAACTTTGATCTTATAATAGTATGGTGCTCAGAGGAGAGGATCATGCTATTTAAAGACATCTGTACCGTCTAAACTCATGCTGTTCACACTGATTAGGGAAACTCTTAATTATATTTGGTTAAGAAAATGGTTTGCATTCTATACT